CTGGAAGAATAGCCAGTGTTTTTAACCACTGAGCCATCTCTCTAGCTCCCGGTAGACTCCTTTTTACTTCATGAAGAGTCTTCATTTGCCAATTCACCAATAAATATGATATCTATTGTTGCAGGATATAAATGATCCCATTCTGAACCTGGGATTGTGAACTGTGAAAACCTGTTTCTTGATGTGGTGTTCAGCCCTAGGACACACCTTTAATCCAAGAGCTTTCTGCACACAGGATTTAATAAAGTTAACTCGAGGTCAAGAGGCAGAGCAAGAAACCATCTGACAGGGAGTAAATAGAAAGGAGGGACTATGGGGGCTGGAGAGATGACTCAGAGGTTAAGGGCACTGATTGCTCTTCCAGAGGTCCTGAATTCAGTTCCCAGCAACCACATGGTGGTTCAAAACCATCTCTAATGAGTTCTGGTGTCCTCCTCTGGCCTGCAGGCACACATGCAGGAAGAACACTAAATATGTAATAAATAAATTTTTTTTAAAGGGGTGGGGCAGGGAAGGAGGAAATTTGAGTTGAAGGGTATTTAAGACAGCACAGAGCAGAAAAAAATCTTTTTGGCATTTTCCTCCTGGGCTGTTGAGTGAGCCAGCAGGCCTTTTCCTCCTGGGCCATCTGCTGAGGTAGCAAGCTTTTGGGCTTTTGGCTTTTGGCATTTTTCCATCTGGTACATGAACTGAGTAGGAAAGTCAGTTGTGTGTTTTCTTGACTCTGAGCTAATAGGCTTTCATCCCAGCAGCTGGCTCCTGAGTCTTTATTGGTAAAATTGAATGTTTGGGGATTTTCATCTTTTAAAACAACAATCTACAATTACTGTATTATCTAGTTCAGTATTGGTCAGGTTTACATGGACAGAGATAAACTTATCAAAACTCTCAAAACTTTGTTGTTCCTGTCCCCAATTGAAATAGCTGCCTTTGTAGTAACCCTGTAGAGGCTTTTAAATAATAATCTCTAAATATGGTATGCGGTTTCTCTGTTGTAGAAACATACCAGTTAGGTGCTGTATCTGAGTTTTGTCCCTCGGTGGTGGGATTAAAGTGTGTGCTGCTGCTGTACCTTGCAATTCTAGAATTTTGAAAACAACTAATTTAGAGAGTTCTGCCTAACTCTGCTGGGATTAAAGGCATGGGCTTCTACTGCTGTCTTCAAATGTTTTATCTTAGCTCCAAATCACTCCAGCTTTTAGAGCTTTAGAAAACAAGTTTGAACTGTAGTAACTCTTAGAATTTATTTGAAACCTTTTAAATCTCTTAGCTGTGTTTTTAAGACCAAACAATAAAAATAACTTTTTTATTTAAAAAGAAAACTCCGAAGCTGTTATCCAAGATGATATGGGCCACATGACAATCCACAGTCTAACATTCTAACATGGAATTAATTAAGAAAACCCATTTTTTATTTCATTCAGTAAGGGAAGTGTGCCTTTGGAAAATATATATATTTTTTAATTTTTCATGTGTGATGAAATGAAAGACATTTGTTAGTCTTTGTAAGTTAGCTTACAAAGGTCATCATGAATGACCATGATGCCTGATGAACCACTGCCTCTCTTTATTCAGACCTCTTCAGATCTAATCTTTGTCAATTTTTTACAGTATCCACAGTTGTTTTTCTCCTGTGGAAGCAAAGCTAAAACCTTTTCCCAATGTAACACACATCCTGGTTTCCCTTCAGAGGTCAACATATCTTTAAAATATACAGGCTGATTTAATATCGTAATTTTTTCTACTATCCAGTCTCTCCGCAGCTGTTATGTCTTTCTTATGTATAACCTGAATGGTTTGTGACTGATTTTTTGTTTTGTTTTGTTTTTTGAGACAGTGTTTTTCTGTGTAGCCTTGGCTGTCCTGGACTCACTTTGTAGAGTCTGTTGGCCTTGAATTGAAAGAGATCGCCTGGCTCTGCCTCAAGTGCTGGGATTACAAGTGTGTATCAGTATGCCACTGTGTCCAGCTTCTGTGGCTGTTCTTTATATTTTTCTCAAAAGCATTTTTATTGTTGTTTGTTTGTTTGTTTGTTTTTCAGAAAGAGGTTTCTCTGTGTAGCCATGGCTGTCCTGAACTTGCTTTTTAGACCAGGGTGGCCTCGAACTCACAGAGATCCTCCTGCTTATATCTCCCAAGTGCTGAAATTACAGGTGTATGAGCCTGGCAGCATTCTTTATTCTATATATTTATCTATCTATCTATCTATCTATCTATCTATCTATCTATCTGTCTATTTATTTATTTGTTTTTGTTTTTGTTTTTCTGAGATTGGAGTATTGTTATAAATGTGAGATCCAATATCAGGTGTGTTTTTAATCCATTCATCTATTCATGCTGATATTACCTTTAAGGCCTGATCACCCTTTTGCATTCTGAATTAGGATTTTCAAGGACAGGTGAAGTCAGTCTTAGTGAAAAATCAGTGAAGACTTTTTTGGGCCTTGCATAATTTTGGTAAATGACTCCGACCTCTTTTTTGATTCTTTAACCTTGTCTCAAGCATTTCAAGTTGCTAAACAACATAGTGCCAAGGTGTGCACCTCAAGTTCAAGCTGCCTTTGTAACTCAGCATGTTGACCTTCACCTAGCACCTGACCCTGAGAAATATTCATACCTCTAGCCCTATTTCATTGTTCTATGGCCCTAGCTTTTTCTTTCCACCAGGTTCACTACTGTAACTGAGGACCGGCTTTAAGTATTGCTGTTGCCAAATCTTTCCTGTCTTGGGGGATAATTCTCTTCTAGTTGCCCATGAATTTAATATCTGCTTCACATGAGGTGAATGTACACTATATAAAATAACCACTTCCTTAAATCTCCTCAAATCTAATATGTTTATACGATTCCATTTAAATTCTTCATAACCTTGGGGGTCCCTATGGTTTGCTGGTGGGTCTTATATAGTAACTGGATAAACTAAGGTTGGTTTTCTAACAACCTTGGTCCATTTCTCTTCAGTTTAATCATGTGCGGTAGGTTTTTGTTTAAATTCCTCTCTTTGTGTCTGAGTATTTTCTCACTTTCATTTATAGTCTCTGTAATTTTTCTTCTAATAAGATACAAGATGCCTTGTAGCTTATTAATGCACCTCTAATATTTTTCTTTTTCCTGTATCTCAAAGGTTTTTTTCTTTGTGAAGCTACAAGAATCCACTACAGCTATTAAGGATAAAATATGAAATACCAAAATAATAATAATCATAATTGGTATTGAGCCAATTTCAGTTAAGCCATTTAGCTTTTTATTTTCTACTTCTATTTTCAAGCCATCTAAAGTAGTACTATACAGGGTCTTAGTACCTTGTATCATAATATTTCCCATACTTAACTCTCTTTGAGGACTTCCCAGGTGGCTTACCAAATCTGATGGCTTCTCAGTTTCTCTGCAGGTGGCATATGTTCTCTGTCCATGTGGTCATGCCATGCTGGAAGTGTCAAATGTTATTTTAACAAAGTCTCAATAGTTCAATTTTATGAAGATTTAGGAGCTAGATGTTGGGGTGAAAGCCTGCTAGCCCAGAAGGCAGAGAGAGCATCCAGGTCTCCTTTTTCCTCAGCTATCTACCAAAAAGAAAGGGAAACTTCCTTTTCCATGCCTTCTCAAAAAACCTTCAAACTGAATGTTCCTCCCTTCCCCTTCCTGTGCATCTCTCTATGTGTTCTCCTGACTTATCTCTCTCTCTATGATGTTTTTCCTTATTTCACTCCCTGTCAAATGGCTGCTTCCTTTGCCTCTTGGCCAAGAGCAAAAAGCTCTTGGATTAAAGGTGTGTGCTAGGGCTGAGCCACACCACAACTAGAAACAGATTTTTCCAGTAAACAACACAGTCTTGGGGTTCGCAGTGTGATCAGATATCCTTCAGCATAGCTGTAAAGAATTTGATGCTTTTGGCCTCCACATGCATTTGCATAATATACATAAATAATAATAAGAAATAAGTATATTTAATTTAATTTTTTTTTTTTTTTACATTTATGCTACAGTTTATTCAGTTAGATCAGCAGGTGTTTTGGGTGTTTTATAGATAATCTATGATTCTGTGCTGGAAGAATAATTCTGAGACTAGTAGGACAAATAAAAGTGTGAATAATTAATTAGGATTCTGAGGAGTTAGTGCTGTCAAAAACATACATAAAGTAATAAATAATAACCTCAGGAAATCATTCCTTATAGAGAAAGAGAAAGTGTTAAAATTTGAATGGATTTTAATTAGCCTTAAAAGATTAAAGGTTTTCCTAATAATATCATAATAATTAGCCACCATTAAGAGCTTGCCTGTGCCACGCCTTGTTGATTTTATGTGCAATATTGTACATAATTAATAAAAATACATAATGAATACTAATACTTTTGGCAGACATTTTACAAGTATTGGTAAGGAAAGAAGCAGATACTTGCCTGTTTTGCCGAGGATGCAGGCTTCTGTCCTCAGGAGACATCAGGAAAAAAGTGCTGATGTTTCAGAGAAAAAAATAGGACAACATGACTCCATCTTTGTGAAAAAATATATGCAATTAAAGATAGAGAAAAATAACGTAAAACCATTAGCAGCGATTGCTTGTAGGGTTTAGACTTATGGGCATTTTTCTTTGTCTCTTCATTTTCCCATTACAGTGTTCATGTTACCTTGGCAACCTGAAATACTTAGTGACTTGTATACAAGAACATTTCTAAAAATTTGATCTTTGGAACTATTTTATAAAAAAGCATTTTGAGACAGCCCCTGATTTGGACTAAATTACTTGAGCTGTATAAATATTTGCATTCCATCAAAAGCACTGACACTAAGTGCAGATAGCAGCGTCTGAACCTTTATTATAATATCTAGAGAGTGTGACTCAGGGTGTTTTTCTTCTTGTCAGGTTTTTATGATCCAGATAAACCAGTTACAAAAGGCTGTATTTTGAAATTGAAATAAGTATTATATTGTGTAAGATACTTTTTTAAACTAAAAACTTCTCTTCATGTAAATTTCTTTTTTTTTTTTTTTGTTTTAGAGGAATCAAAGGAAAATGAAAAGACAAAAGTTGATGACCAGTCATTAGATTCCGGAAAGCATTGTGTGGCCAGTGTTCTAGAAGAAACAGCTGTGAAAATTGAAAAAGAAGATGAAAAGGAGCTCGTGAAACTGCCAGTCATTGTAAAGCTAGAAAAACCTTTGTCAGAGACTGAGGGGAAAAAGATTATCAGAGAGGAAAGTGATTCCTTCAAGGAAAATGTCAAACCCATTAAAGTAGAAGTAAAGGAGTGCAGAGTGGACTCAAAAGATCTCAAAGGCAGCTTGGAGAGGACAGGCACACAGGAACCCGAGCGGGTAGAATTTGGTGGCAACATCAAATCTTCTCAAGACATCACAGAGAAATCTACTGAGGAAACAGAGAAGCTTAAAAATGACCAGCAAGCCAAGATACCACTAAAAAAACGTGAAATTAAGCTGAGTGATGACTTTGACAGTCCAGTCAAAGGGCCTTTGTGTAAATCAGCTACTCCAACAAAAGAGTTTTTAAAAGATGAGGTAAAGCAAGAGGAAGAGACTTGTAAACGGGTCTCTGCCATCAGTGCTTTGAGTCATGAAGGGAAACAACTTGTAAATGGAGAAATTAGTGATGACAAAGCAACTCCAAATTTTAAGACAGAACAAATGGAAACACAACTTTGTGATACAAAGGAAGATCACTCTAACATCCCTTCTAAGGAAGGAAATGCCATTCTGGAGGGAAATGGTGCAGAGTGCTTAAATTCTGTCATAATAAGCACAAAGACAAGTGAGTTTGAGAAAGAGGTCCCTCTAGGCAAGGCTATAGATAGCTCTGTGCCTGTCTTAGAGAGCCACAGTCAGAAAAGAGGGTTAGAGGAGCCTGGGCCTCCAAACACGGAAATGCAGCTTGAGCCTCCTGAGAAAGCAACAGATATTTCTTCAAAACCTCCTTTATCTGCCACTGAATCCAGCAATACAAAAGTTGAAGAAAAGGCCCCAAAAAGTAAGACTGAGAACCACACACCAGGCATTGAATGCCTGGAAAAGGTGGAGAAGGCCAAGAAGACTTTGGTTGATAAGGACATACAAAGATTGAGTCCAATACCAGAAGAGGCTGTAAGGAGTGCTGTAGAATCGGAAAAGCCAGATCCTTTCGAAGTGCCCGAAACTCCCCTTCCACCTGAGGTGACTGATCCCAAGGAGAAACTGACTTCAGAAAGAAAAGGTGTAGAATGTCTAAGTAGAGGTTCAAGTGAAGGTCAGTCCCTTGAAAGCGCAAGCCCAGAAATTCTACAAGACAATTCTGAGTCCTTGAAGGTGGAAATGGCCAATCTGGACAATGCCCAGGCCTCTGGCATGGAGGATGTTTCTGAGACAAAGGGCTCGGTGCAAAAAAGCAAATTTAAATATAAGTTAGTTCCTGAGGGAGACAGTGCTGCTTCAGAAAATACAGAGATCACTTCTGAAAGGCAGAAGGAAGGCATCAAATTGACAATTAGGATATCTAGTCGGAAGAAGAAGCCAGATTGTCCCCCACAAATTGTTGACACTGAAAGCAAGGAAAAGAAGGTGGGGAAGGAAGAAGAGAAAACAAGCCTGGGCCGAACTTTAAGAAGGTCTCCGAGAATATCTAGGCCCACAGCAAAAGTAGCTGAGATCAGAGACCAGAAAGCCGATAAGAGAAGAGCAGAAGGAGAGGATGGAGTGGAAGGAGAGGCTGCAGCCTTGCAGAAAGCAGAAAAGAAGGAACACCTGAAAAAAGCAGAAAAGGATGCAAATTCTAAAGTGAGCAAGGTAAAACTTCCACCAAGTTTTCAATGGAGAAAATTTTTAAATTTTTAGTATTTTTAAATATTTTTAGTGTTTTTTTTTCCATTAAAATTAAAAATTTTTAGTATTTTCAAAATATTAGTCTCCTTGTTGGACATGTGCATGTAGAGGTCAGAGAAGGACTTGTATCTTCTCTGCTTCCAACATGTGGATTATAGGAATCAAATTAGGCTTGACAGTAAGCACTTTTACCCACTGAGCATGCCATTGTGCTGGTCACTAAGTTTTCAGTCAAATTTTTTTCACGTGTATGAGTGTGATAATGTGTATGTGTTCATGCAGATGTGTGTGGATGTGTGAACAGTGGCTGGCTTCTTCTATCCTTCAACCTCTTACTTTGTGAAACAGCTTGAAGCTCGGGGCTCAGCTCAGCTAGTTAGCCAGTGATCTTCAGCAGTCCACCTACCTGTGTCCCCACCTCATAGGGTTGCAGGTGCATACTGCCTTGCATGGCTTGTTATGTGGGTCCTGGGCATCCAGATTTCAGTCCTCTTGCTTGTATGACAGATGCTTTAATGATTGAGCCATCTCGAAAGCCTGTATTGTCAATTTTAATTAATTTGGATTAATTAATTTTAATCAATTTGGATCTAAATTGTTTATAGCTTTGTGTTGAGATCGCTATTCAAAGACAATAATAAATCTTCCTCTCTTTATCAGTTATTCCACATACTACCTTCCAACCATACAATGTTTTTAGATTCTTTCCCTATTGCCAGCGGTTCTAAGAAAACACTCTATGAGCTATCCCACTAGTAATGCGCCTGGGAGTTGTAGCATCTAAAAGTAAGCTCCCCATAGGAACAGCTTGGGATGTACAGGCCTCATGCTTCTCTTCTAAGCATTCATGTATACACTAATGAACATTTGTCTATAAAATTTTTAATATAATTAGATCAAACTTGGTTTTGTTGTGTTTTTTTTTTTCCACTTAACAGTATTGTCTCTCTTCTTGTGTCAGAAGTGACAGTCCTCTTTATATTTATTTGTGGCCACAGTATTTCATAGTGTGGATATACCTCAGTTTATTTAATTACTCCCTTATTAATTGACATTTAGGTTGTTTCCCATTTTTCACTATTACAGGCAATGCTGCATTGAAGATCCTTTTGGACATAAGTGAGTATTTCTTTAGAATAGACTCCTAGAATTGGAATTACTGGGTCAAGGGGCATGTGTATTATAAAATTGATAGTTATTGTCACATTGCCCTTCAAAATCCCTATTACTGTGCCACCCCATTGCCAGTGTATAAGAGTATCCATTTTCCTCATTAATTTTAAAAGCAGGAATTTTCTTTTCTATGACCGTCTGTATTTTGACCAAAATCAACTTTAAGATTTTAGTTCATGGGATTTTGCTGTTAAAAGTATTACTTTTTTTTTTTTTTCATTCTTAATGGCCAAGTTATTGTTCATTCTCAGTCATCCTTTGTTCCCTGAAATGTGGAATTTTTAATTATTTTGGGAACCTTATTTTTTTTTTTAATGTTGGAATTATTTTGTTCTCTCCTAGAGGCCTATCGAAAAGCAATGACGTGAAATAGGACTTAAAAGACTAAAACTAGGGATTAAAATGATATATCATAATCAGCTTATAGTCTAGATTATAATAATTTAAAAATTTATTGGGATTGTTTATACGCAGGTCTGACCTGCTTTGAAAATTTTGTTTGTAATTTAGAGTTTAATTTTTTGAAAAATAATTGTGTCAGTATATCTTCCTGCTGCTGGTTTAGCCTTTAAGTGTTCATGGCCTTTGACCCAGGCTCCTGTTCAAGGAATTTATCCTAACCACAAAGATGGATGCAAACATTAACATCAGCGAGGGCACATTGTGAAAGTGAAAAAATGGGAAACAACCACCCAAGTATGTGAATAAGCTCGTACAGCTATTTTTGGCATATTTATAAGACATAATGCCATTGTATAATCCCATTTTTAAGACCCCCAAAAATACAGAAAAAAATAATATAAACGCATACCAAAACTTAGTAGTAGACAGACCTATGACAAGAGTATAACCATTTTCATCTTTTCTTTCTGTATCAGCTAAATGTAGTCTGGAGAAATCTGAAAACATTCTTATGCCCAATTATGTTATCTTTTAATTACGTAAGGTAAAACCCAAAGGCAAAGTTCGATGGACTGGCTCTCGGACACGCGGCAGGTGGAAATACTCCAGCAATGATGAAACTGAAGGGTCTGACAGTGACAAATCCTCTGCGGCCTCAGAAGAGGAGGAAGCAAAGGAAAGTGAAGACGCAGTTCTTCCAGATGATGATGAACCATGCAAAAAGTGTGGCCTTCCGAACCATCCAGAACTCGTACGTACCTGCTCTGAGACAGCAGTGCTCATCTGATGGCTGTGCTCTGGCTATTTGGAGTGATCCACTGCTCCTGGGGTTGATCATGATTTGAATTTTGTTTTGTTTTTTAAGGTAGGGTCTCACTATTGGCCCTGGGTGGCCTGGATCTCATTAAGTTGGCAGTTAGGACTAACCCATGTATTATTTGCTCTTGTGTTCCTGTGATGAAGCACCATGACCAAGGCAACTTATAAGAGTTTGATAGTTTCTCATAAGTAGTTGGGAATTTTTACTAGGGTAAGAGAATGCTGTTAGAAACTGAAGTTCTACAGTCTGGTAGGGTTTTTTTATGCCCTAGACTTGAAGATACTCCAAAATCAAAATTAGAAGCAATAATAAACCACTATTGTATTCGTTAAGAAAATTAATGGTCCTTGTTCTTAGCGAGCAGAAAAGTTATGTATTCAGTAAATCTAGAACTCCTGTCTGTTCTAGTTGTTTTAGTTAAAAGCAATAAATCATTGCCTAAGACTTGCAAGTTCGTACATAGAAATAGTTATTTGGTGGGATTTGGAGTTTTGTTGTCATGTAAGACAAGTCTTTCAGAAGTAAATTAAATTGTAAAGTTGATTTGAAATCTAGGTTATTTTTTTGTAGAAATAATGTGATGAGTGAAAATGGATGCCTTGCTTAGTCTACGTATACCAAAGTAATGAATTTTACAGTTGGTAAACACTGCTAATAGAGGTTGGTACTGACTGTTGGATATTGGAATCGAGTAGTGACTCTGTTTTATACATAGCAAAAAGAAGGTGGTTTTCCAGCCTTAACTCTGTCCTTTGTGGAATGGGATAGAGTTTCAGAATATCAGAGGTGAACAAATAGGGAGGATATGCAATAGGAGCCAGGGCTCTTCCTGGGACCAATGGTAGTCTGAATTCTGTGAAGCCGGATTAGCGTTGGAGGGATTGTAGTGAACTCATTTTAATACAGGTAGAAATACAGGTGTGTGTCTGTGCGCGCGTGCAGTTATTAACTAATGGGCTCTCTGAGAGAACTTAAATATCAGTGACAGGTCATTGCGGTAAGTACTAAGACTTCCCAGACCTTGGTTTCTAAATCATTTGAAATAAAAAACCAGGTCTTCTTCATTTTATTAAAAATTCTCAGGCCAGGCAATATAAGGTATAAGTATAAGGTATATCTAAAGCACCTTGTACCTTCCAGAAGGCAACAAAATGCTTTAAAAACAAAGAATCTGATACAGAGAAGCCCTAACAACACAGAAAGTAGAAAGAGTTCATGTATCAATGGCTGAAACAGCTCCAACAAATTAAACATCAGCTTTTAATTACAGTTCAAAGAAGAAGAAATAATTTCATACTGACAGAAATTGAGTGAAACCTGAGTGGACGAAAGGAACAGATTTCTTTGCAGAAAACCAGTAAGATAGGTTTAAGGAAAAGAGAAACGCACAAGCGGAGGTGCCGCAGGCAGCACTGCTGATGCGGAGATCATGCCGGGTCTAAACTTGGCAGGCAGGCCTGAGGAGAAGATGGGTGCTTGAGTAACTTGATCGTATCGTTCTCGTAAACACCTTTATTATCCAGTACTCCTAGTGCTAGAAAACTTTGGCCTCTCTCCTTGAGTATAGGCTGAATGTGTATTCCTTTGTTCTGGTTTTGTTGGTTTTATTCATTTATTTGTGTGTTACTGGTGATTCGAATGCAGGCTATTCACACATCTACCATGGGACTGCTTTCCCTGCCCCGTTATTTATTCATTCATTCGTTGGTTCATTCGTTCGTTCATTTCCAAAAGGGTTTTAAGATGTTGCCCATGTTAGCCTCAAAATCTGATATTCCTGCCCCTGCTTCCCTCATAGGTGGAATTAATAGACGTTAGTCACAGGCTCAGTGGGATTTATTTTGAAGGTAGATTATGGAACGTAAACAGTGTAACTTCAAAGTAGAAAAAAGATACTTCTTTAGCTAAGTGAATAAAGTTAATATCACCAATAATAATCTGTATTAATATCATATATTTCTTGTGTGGTAGTTTGAATGAGAATGGCCTCCATAAAGCCTGTTATGGTGCTATACTCCTTTAATCCCAGCACTCAGGAGACAGAGGGAGTTGGATCACTACTTAGTGAGACCCCGTCTCAAAAAAAAAAAAGCCGGGGATGGGGGGTGTGGAGAAGAGGTGGCTAAAGAGATGGCTCAGCAGTTAAGAACAGTTACTTAAGAACCCAGGTCTTCCTCCACAACCTCTCCAGCATATGTTGTCACTTGAGTTCTTGATTACTTAGCCCTTCTTATGGGTGTGAGGTGAGATCTCAGGTCGTTTTGATTTGCATCTCCCTGATGACTAAGGATGTTGAGCATTTCTTTAAGTGTTTCTCTGCCATTCGATGTTCTTCTATTGAGAATTCTCTGTTTAGCTCGGTTCCCCATTTTTTTAAATTGGATTACTTGATTTGTTGCTTTTTAACTTCTTGAGTTCTTTATATATTCTGGATATTAGCCCTCTGTCAGGTATAGGGTTGGTGAAGATCTTTTCCCAGTCTGTAGGCTGTCATTTTGTTCTGATGACAGTGTCCTTTGCTTTACAGAACCTTTTCAGTTTCATGAGGTCCCATTTATTGATTGTTGCTCTTAGAGCCTATGCTGGTGGTGTTCTGATCAGGAAGTTGTCTCCTGTGCCAGTGAGTTCAAGGCTCTTCCCCACCTTTTCTTCTAACAGGTTTAGAAGAAACCTGTCCATTTTTATATTGAGGTCTTTGACCCACTTGGATTTTAGTTTTGTGCAGGGTGATAAGTATGGATCTAGTTGCATTTTTCTACATGTAGACATCCAGTTAGACCAGCACCATTTGTTGAAGATGCTATCTTTTTTTCATTGTATGGTTTTGGCATCTTTGTGAAAAAATCAGGTGTCCATAAGTGTTGGGTTTATTTCTGGGTGTTCTATTCCATTCCATTGATCCACCATTCTGTTTCTATGCCAATACCATGCAGATTTTATGACTGTTGCTCTATAGTACAGCTTGGGATCAGGGATGGAGATACCTCCAGAAGATCTTTTATTGTAGAGGATTGTTTTAGCGATTCTGGGTTTCTTGTTATTCCATATGAAGTTAAGAATTTTTCCTTCTAGGTCTGTAAAGAATTGTGTTGGTAATTTGATGGGAATTGCATTGAATTTGTAGATTGCTTTTGGTAAGATGGCCACTTTTACTATGTTAATCCTGCCAACCCATAACCAGCTCCATTGCTGGTGGGAATGTAAACTTGTACAAACACTTTGGAAATCAATCTGGCACTTTCTCAGACAATTAGGAATAGTGCTATCTCAAGATCCAGCTATACCAATCCTAGGCATATTTCCAAAAAATGTTCAAGTATACAATAAGGACATTTGCGCAACCATGTTAGTAGCAGCCTTATTTGTAATAGCCAGAAGCTGGAAACAACCCAGATGTCCCTCAGTTGAGGAATGGATACAGAAATTATGGGACATTTACACAATAGAACACTACTCAGCAATTAAAAACAAGGAAATCATGAAATTTGCAGGCAAATGGTGGGATCTAGAAAAGATCATCCTGAGTGAGGTATCCCAGAAGCAGAAAGACACACATGGTATATACTCACTTAAAAGTGGACATTAGACATATATAATGTAGGATAACCATACTAAAATCTGTATACCTAAGGAAGCTAATCAAGGAGGATGATCCTGGGTAAGATGCTCAATCTTCATTCAGAAAGGCAAACAGGATGGACATCGGAAGAGGGAGAAAACAGGGAACAGGACAGACGCTTACCACACAGGCACTCTGAAAGACTGTACTCATCAGGGTATCAAAACATAAGCTGAGACTCATAGCCAAACTTTGGGCAGAGTGCAGGGAATCTTATGAAAGAAGGGGGAGATAGAAAGACCTGGAGGGGACAGAAGCTCCACAAGGAGAGCAACAGAATAAAAAAATCTGAGCACAGGGGTCTTTTTCTGAGACTGATACTCCAACCAAGGACCATGTATGGAGATAACCTAGAACCCCTGCACATGTAGCCCATGGCAGCTCAGTGTCCAAAAGAGTACCCCAGTAATAGGAACAGAGACCATCTCTGACATGGGCTGGCTCTCTGATCACTTCCACCTGAGGGGGGAGCAGCTTTACCAGTGCACACAGGAAGACAATGCAGCCAGTCCTGATGAGACCTGGTAGATTAGAGTAAGATGGAAGGGTAGAAAAACCTCCCCTATCATTGGACTGGGGGAGGAGCATAGGAGAAGAAGAGGGAGGGAAGGTGGGATTGGGAGTGGTTGAGGTGGGAGCTATAGCAGGGATACAAAGTGAATAAACTGTAATTTAAAAAATTTAAATGATAAAAAAAAAAAAGAACCTAGGTCTTCCAGAGGACCTGGATTCAATTCCCAGCGCCCACATATCAGCTTATAAGTGTCTGTAACTTGAGTTCCAGGGGATCTAGTGCCTTCTTCTGACCTTCAGTGTTAACTGTATATATAGTTCATAATACACAAACACACACATACACATAATTTTTTTTTTTTTTTAAGAAGAATGGCTTCTATAAGCCCATGTATTTGAATGTTTAGTTATCAGGGAATGGAACTATTTTAAGAATTAGGAGGTGTAGCCTTGTTGGAAGAAGTGTGTCTCTGGGGTGGGCTTTGAGGTTTCAAAAGCCCACACCAGCCTCAGTCTCTGTCTTTCTGCTGCCTTCAGATAAGGACGTAGAACTCTCAGTTACTCCAGCACATGTCTTCCTTTGTGCTGTCGTACTCTGCCATGATGATAATAGACGAAACCTCTAAAACTGTAAGCCAGCCCAATCAAATGCTTTCTTTTATAAAAGTTGCTGTGGCCATGGTGTCTCCTCACAGCAATAGAACACTGAGACACTTTGATGATATGACAGCATAAACAGAACATTCTTCTCTTAAACATGGACTCCACTATAACCATTTGGAAATACAACATCTTATTCAGAGTTGTTCATGAAATGTTTGACCAAAGTCTAATAGTCTATAAACTCCCAAAGCCACAGACAGAAAAGGTAAACATGTTAGTACCAGAGGGGGAGAGTAGGGAAACAACCAAATGCGTACAGTCTTTGGTTCTATAATCAGAAAAATGACATTAGTTCAGAAAAGGTCTTACCAGACTGTTATGTCGATGCTGTTGTTAGTTTTGGCAATGGTTGGTAAGATTTTAACCTTGTAACTGGGCATTGTGGCGCATCCCTCTAACCTTAACATTTGGGGAGCTGGAACAGGTTGACTGAAACTTTGAGGCCAGTTGTAGAACAGGACCTCGTGTCAAAGAAGAAAAATCATATTCTTGTGAAAAGTTACAAGATGTATGTGCACACTGTAATGTCTATGTAACTTACCTATAAATCTAAAAATATTTTAAAATGCTTTTTAGTTAAATAATTACAGTAAACTGGTTTTAAATAACTGGTCACCTTGAGTTCATTGCGGTAAAATATCAGGTAAAACTAGTTGGTGGTGATGTTGGTGTTCAAGTAAGATGGTTCCGACACGTTAGTCTTTTCCTATGTGTCAGTCTCTTCCTTATCTGAATTTACAAAAAAAAAAAAAAACAACAACAACAACAAACTGTGTTTCTTACATATAGATAATGGAAATATGTTATAATTCCATATGTGTTAGTCTGCTTTATCACGCTTGAACTTTGAAATTCCATTATAAAGAGTCTAAGATCACCCTGTGGCAGACTAGAAATTGATTATAGTTCAGGAAAGACTAACATTTCACTAACTTCTGCACCTAATATTTTCTCAGGTTGTTAGTGGGAGTGCTTTTTAATTTCTCATGTGTTTGTGTTTGTGAGACAGGGTTTCTCTGTGCAGCCCTGGCTACCCTGGAACTTACTCAGTATACCATGCTGGCCTTCGACTCAGATCTGCCTTCCTAGCACTGGGATTAAAGGTTTGAGCCACCACACCTGGCTCAATTTTTGAAAAAAATTTTCTCATCCCCAATTATCAAATGAACTATTTCTTCATTCATTGGCTGTGTGCAGATACCATATAGTTCCTCATATAGTTCGTGGTAGTATACTAAGATACTGGAATGCCATTATTTTCACCAGGAATGGGGTCTCATACCTTTACAAACCCAGCACTCCCAAGGCTGAGACAGGAATATTGCTGAGTTTAAGCCCAGCCTGGGCTACAAAAAGCAAGTACCAGCTTAGCTAGCACTATTACTATAGCAAAGAATTGTCTCAAAAAAGAAAGAAGTGCCATTATTTTAACAACGTGCAGATGTTGATATTAATGTGGTTTATTTCAGATTCTTCTGTGTGATTCTTGTGACAGTGGATACCATACTGCCTGCCTCCGCCCTCCTCTGATGATCATCCCTGATGGAGAATGGTTCTGCCCTCCTTGCCAGCATGTACGGCCTAACCTTACTCTGTCTCCAGCCCTCAGTTTTATATTTAATACATTAATAATATTTCTTAGCAGTCGTTGAACACCTTCCATTTTCAAAGCAGTTGTCAATAGTGTTTGCCTCTTGTTTAGGTCCTTACCTTCTACAAGTAGCTCAGGTGTGCTTCTTGTCTTCTTTTATAACACTTCTGGCTTTTATAAAGCCAGCCTTTTCTTTTTCTTCTCAAGTTTATCATAAATATAAGTAGCATAAATATAGGGTGTGTGTTAATATGTGGGTGTATTAATATGTGTGTGTGTGTATATAAGTGTTTCTGTAGTTTACCCCCTTTTTAATACCTTCTTTCTCCCTTTACTATATCTCTTTGTTGTTAGCACTAGAAGAAACATCAGTGTTCTGGTAATTCACACTTTCTTGTAAAACTGAAGAACAGTAGATTTCTGTTCTCTGCACCAATTGGACACTTTGTTTCACAACTTCAACCTTACTGTGTTTTCAACATAATGGCTTTATGCCATTTTCTCTGAAGTTACCTTCTGTGGCTTAGCATAGCTTAATCTGTATTTTTTTTTATGCTTTGTTTTTATCCAGTAGCCATGTAGTATTGTTTTGTGTGTATTTTTCAATTTTTTTATATTGGCATTATGCTTTGTCATATACACACACATACATATATATATATATTTTTAAAGTTTTTTGTGTTTGTTTTTTTTTTTTTAATGTGTATGACCGTGTTTTGAATAGTAATAAACTGCAATTATGAAACCTGAAAGCCGGGTAGGCACAGAATATGTCTTTTTATCTTACAAAGCTATGTTTGTCTGACATGCTTTCTTATAGCATGCCTTGCTCATCATCTGTTAAGTGGATCCTGAACACTTTTTTAAACTAAGCATGTTTCAGTATTTATTCACCATGTAGCCATCTTCAATTCATGGCTTAACAGCCTTAAGTTTAATATTAAGCATGAAATGTATGGTCTACGTTCTGGCATTAAAAATAACACATGCATATTGCTCCTTCAGAAACTACTGTGTGAAAAATTAGAAGAACAGTTGCAAGATTTGGATGTTGCCTTAAAGAAGAAAGAGCGTGCAGAAAGAAGGTAAATTGATACATGTGTCAATGTTTTCCGTACGATTTGGCAGTGAAACCTTCTTGCGGTTTAGATGAACACATCCATCTAAATCAAATTTGGCAAGCTACAGCAAGTTAAGTCTGGTTTGCTGCTGCTGTTTGCACTTCTTACTAAGAATGATTTTTATGTTTTTAAAAATAACACTGTAAAATCATTTCATGATATAGGAAAACTACATGATATTCACATTTCATATCCCATAAATAAACTTTCCTAGAACATAGTTTTGCTCATTTGTTTGTGTGATTACTATGGCTGGTTTTGCACTGCAACAGTGGAATTGTGTGGCTCAGTGGAGATCCAGTGAGTTCCTAAGCTTGAAATACTAGGTGTCCTTTTACTCACAAGTTTGCCAGTTCCCTCTGTATAATACTGAAATCTGTTGTGGAAAAGTATTATGCCACATTTTGTGGAGGAAATGTACTTAACTATTGTTGAACCCAAGAAAAGAAAATTATAAGGAACTACTTGATTTTTTTTTTTTTTAATTTTATTTTTTACTCATGCCATCTCTTTGGGTGGGCTGTACTAACTCTGGTAAATAAGGACCATTTATTTACTTGCTGTCGTATTGACAGTAAAATATACTGTTTTCATTATTTCATTGCAGTGTAGATTAAAACAGTTGAGGTAGCTTCTTAGAGCAAATACGATTGACCTTGAGCCATATATTTAATAGGGATTCAGAATACAGTAAGTTTATAGTTATTTGTACTTTCTTTGACTATTCCATTTCTAAACATTCATTCAAATCCACTGCATACTCAACTGAATGAAACAGATGAATAAAAAAAAATCTGTTTACAGTAAACTGACATCCTACCAGAGAGTACAGATAGAGAGACTATAGAGACCAGTGAGGGGGGAGAGAGAGATAGATTGATTTTCAACACAATCCTAGAACATGGAGGAACGTTTAAATTCTTATAGAAGGTGTGGATTATCAGGGAAGGCTTTGAAAGATAAATTGTGATTATATAGGTGGACATAGAAGAGACATTTCTAGTTGATGTTTAGAAAAATGAGCAATGGGAGAATATAAAAGTGAGGGCAGAAGAATGGGATGGATCTCCATAAAAGAAGAGGAAGTCTAGATTGCAAACAGCTTTTGCATAGCTGGCTAGAGAGATTCAACTATTCACTGTAGGTAGTGGTGGAGTCATCAAAGGATATGTTCTTCATTTCAGAAAATATGTACTGGTAAGTCAGAGGAATGGATGTAAGAGTAACTTTTATTCTCAATTGTCTAGGAGGCTTTTTCCTGAATAAGCTCACCAATTCTTGTCCTTTCTGAACTCTGCCTTGCTGGTTCACTCAGCTGTTATGGCTCAAACTCCTTTCTAAGCTGACTGATTCAAACTGGCTTTTTTCAGCTTCTGACTGAATTGCTTTGCTTGGCCTCAAACTAACTCTAGCAATCCGTTCTAGCCTTCTGGCTCCTTCTCATTCTCAAGCTCGTTCTGTCTTTACCTGTGTATAGCTTCTTCTCTCTTCAACCTGTATCTGTAAAAATTCTCCAGTAAAACTGCTTTTCTCTCTTTCCTGTGCTGCTTTCTTAAATTGCTTTTCTTCCCTGTGTCGTATCCTATGCTGTCAGCTCTTTCTTTGACTTGTTGCTTTTTCTGCCCCTTAGTTCAACATCACTTTTAAACATGCCTGCTTCCTTCTATAAACTGACCTTACTTTCATTGTTTGGGATTAAAGTGGGTACTAAGGGGATGTGTCTATATTCCAGCCAGAAAACATAGACCTAAAAGGTGATCCCTTGACAGAGTAGCCATTTTGCTGGATTAAAATTCCTCTGTAAATGGATGAGAATTGGAGTGTTGCAGTAGAAAGTCTGGAAGTAGGGCAGCCATTGTAATGGTAGGGTAGAAGTGGTGGACTCATGCAGTCCGTGAAATGACCCTCTAGCACTCATGTATTCTCAAAGAACAAGAGCATCTATCCCCTAATCCCATTATTTTCTATTTTTGTATTCGGCATTTAACCAACGTTTTTTGAAAGCCTGTTTTATTTCAGGCAATGTATTCAACATGAGAAAGCATGTACTATTTCTACCTTGAATGGCTACACAATCTAGAAAAGAGGGTTGTGACAATGAATATTTAGTGACTACCTAGTAAATATCTACAGATCTGGAGAATAGCTCTATGAAATCTGCTGTCTTAGAAATCTTTATTTTCCAGAGTCTGGTGTCAGAGATGCTTTGGGAATTCAGAAAGCTCTGTTCTTACAGACTACAATTACTAGTGCTCTGCCTATTCAGGGAGTTGGATTTAATTGGGGTTGGAGTTTTCCAGGTAGTAGAACAGTGAGAAGGAGAGAAAGGCACAGAATTTGAAAGGGTATGCACAAGAGTATTTCTAACAGTGGACCATGTTAGCCAGGTAACAGGGGAGTCATTTTTAGTGCTTAACAGGGGCTAGCGTAAGTGAAATTTCTACTAGAGTCAACAGATTATTAAAAGTAACATATAAAGTGGAGTGGGCTGGAAATTGAATTAATGGAGGTCAGACAATCGGATGTGTAAAACAGCAATGTTAGAAAGAGTGGAGTTAGTAATGATAAGGTCTGCAGCATCACTGGTCTAGCCAGTGAGATAGAGTGAAAGGCATCTGGCCAAAAGATTACTAAGAGAACTATGTGAGGAATCATGTCTACCTTCATGATCCTGCACAAAAAGCCTATCATACTTTTTCTGTGCTGATAAAATCAATCTATATATTTTCATGTTTCTAGTAGAATTGTTCAAAATTGTCTGTAATCAATTGATAAGTAATTGTGAGTGCAGAAACCCATAACTTAGTTATGTATGGATTTCCAAACTTACATAAGTCTACCCATGGTGAACATGAGCAAATGTCTCTTCAGTTGAATAGAGAAGAGAAATACAAGACAAATGAAAGTAATCAAGGTTTAAAGGAGAAAGTTAGTATTTCAATAAATGTGATTATTGCAAGGACAGATGTATATCCCATATACTTACTAACAGTTCAAACCAGGAAATACTCAGATTGTCGTGGTCATTATTACCGCCTGATAGATTACAAAGTTGTAATTAAAGTGATTTTATCATTTTCATAAATGTAATAGCTTCACCATGTGTTCCTAAGATTCTTGTTAGAAGGGTCTAGAGTTCATAGCACATTAAAAGCTGCATTCCAAAATATCTAGACAAGTAAATGCATTAATTTCCTTTCAGAAAGAACACTGCAATAGGGAAGAAAGAACAGTTGGTCTGTTAGTTGAGTTTAATGTCCTCTGGTATTCCGAGCTCAAGCTGTCCTTATTGTACTGGATTAACACTGAGAAGTCCAGAGGAAGCACATGTTGTAGAGAGCTGATTATTTTTGAATTAAAACAAACATGTTTTGTTTGTTTGTTTGTTTGTTTGTTTTTGTTTTTTTTCTTGAAGGTGTCGTTGGGGATCCATAGTCTTTTTTGTTGTTATTGTTTGGCTTTCCTCTACAGGTGTCTTAATTTGCATTGTTGGATGCCTAGTCATGTGTTTTTCTTCTCCACACAAGAAACGAGTGGCTTTAATGTCACTCACTGAAGCCTTGAAATAGTTTTGTTAAGTATGTCTTATTAGTCATTATTTTATAGTGATGTTAGTTAACCAGTTTGTCTGGTCAGAGGTAGCTTTCCATCTAACCACATTGTCATGTCACAGAAGATTTTTTTTTTTTAATCTAGTTTAGTTAAAAAATACTGCTTTCATATAGGTAAGAAAGTTTGTGCTTTTCCTTTTTGTTTTGTCTCTATACTTTAGCTGTCCTTGACTTGCTTTGTAGACCAGGCTGGCCTTGAACTCACAGAGATCTGATGGCCTCTGCTGGGATTACAGGCATTTGCCACCATTCCCGGCACGTTTATAAGTTTGTGCTTTTCTTTTCTCCTTTTCCTCTTCTTCTTCTTCTTTTTTTTTTTCTTTTTGTGTGTGTTGTAGGGGTGTTTTGTTTTGTTTTTCAAGACAGACAGAGTATCTCTGTGTAGCCCTGGCTGTCCTGGACTCACTTTGTAGACCAGGATGGCCTCAGACTGAGAGCAATCTGCCTGCCTCTACCTCTCAAAGTGCTAGGATTATAGGTGTGCGCCACCACATCCAGCCAAGTTTGTGCTTTTCAAACTTCACTGGCGACGGCCTCTTAAGTACCATAAGATTGTAATTTCATTACTGTCTACAATGATGATATTTTCAGACCAGTTTCTTCTTCAGAAAATCTTATTTTATGCTTTTGGTTTTTTTTGTTTTAAGGAAAGAACGTTTGGTGTATGTTGGTATCAGTATTGAAAACATTATTCCTCCACAAGTAAGTTTCTATTCGATAGTTTTGTTTTTGAATTTTATGTGTATGAGTGTTCTTGCCTGCATGTATATCTGTGTGCCTCATGTATGCTTAGTGGCCACAGAGGTCAGAAAACGGTGCCAGATCCCCTGGTACTGGAGTTACAGATGGTTATGAGCCACTCTGAAGGTCGTGGGAATCGAACCTGAGTCCTCTATAGAGCAGCCAGTGCTCTTAACCCCCAATCCATTTTCAGTCCATATTTATGTAGTATTTGTAGAGGAGTTGCTTTATGCTTTCTAAAGTTTCACCCAATTATGTCTTGTTTTAATATTTAACATACCTATTCTATTAAAGCTAAACAATTTAAGCACTAAGAGAAATAAGTATTAAAATTATTATTATTATTATTATTATTATCTATTATAAATAGGTAACCCAGTTTAAACTAAAATACAGCTCATTGCTTTGGGGTCATGTTCTGTTGTTTCTGTTGTAAATGAGGCAATTTGTTTACTTGCATAAAATAGTTAAGACTAGTTTGGGAATATTTTACATTTAATCTGGCACTATTGAAACTTTAATTTCTATTATAATTTAATTTCTTTGACAAACTACCATTATTTTACATTTATTACTCTGTAATTAAGGGTACCTCATCACTGAATGTTCATGAAACATAACTTCCAACCTGATTTTGTTGTGGGCTACTGTTGCTGATTTAAGACAGGGTTTGTAACCCTGACTGGCCTGGAACTCAAGAGAGCCAACTGTCTCTACCTGCTGAGTGTTTGTTTTCAAGGCTGCGATTAATGGTGTGAGCTACTACACTCAGCAGTTTCCAAATAACATTTTTGCCATTTTATTTATTTATTTATTTTCACAATAAATCACAACTTTTAAGTAGCTTTTCAAGATATTTTTCAGTTTAAATCAAATCATTTCAAGAAGTCATCATTCATATGTATTCGAAGTTTTCTGTGTATCATGTTTAATTATTGGTTAAAACAGTGAATTGGTAGAAAGCTTCATTTTGGTTATTTTAATACTGATTATCATAAATTCACAGGAGTATAAGAATTTCAATACAGAAATAGTTCTCCTATTAAGTTACCGATATTTTTAATTTGTATCTTAGTTTTGCTATGTATATTCACTGTGGTAGATAATGAAGAGTTCTTCAAACCTTTCATGTGTACTATCTAGGTATACTATTTAAGCTGCTAATTCCAAGGACTCTTTCTCTGTTACACCTATATACTTCTATCTTTAAAGGAGCCAGATTTTTCTGAAGATCAAGAAGAAAAGAAAAAAGATGCAAAAAAATCCAAAGCAAATTTACTTGAAAGGAGATCAACAAGAACAAGGAAATGTATAAGCTACAGGTATGAAATAAAAGAAAGTTGCTATAGTAAAAGAACCTACCTCTCCCCCCCCCCCCCCCCCCCCCGGTTACACAAGACACAGAAGTGGGTATTCCCCAAACTTGGTGATTTGTAACCACTATTTATATGTCACTTGATGTCTTTGGGTGTTAGGTTCTGAGACTTGAAGGCCACACTGCTGCTCAGTAGTCGTAGAGCACTTCCCTAGCCTGAGCAAGGTTATATGTTCAGTCCACACAGCATGCACACACTTGGATGTGCAGATTCACAGCAGAAATTATTTTTATATTTACTATGTCTGAGTTCATCTGTGTCACCTGATTCCTAAACTAAGATGTATCTTACTTAGAAAGTAATCTTAGAAATAATTTTTTCTTGTTCCTTGTCTTTAAATCAGAAGACATAGTCATTTGAGCAAAAGCGCATTTTATTTAGTTGGAAATTTTTATCATCTGTATATGAATTTAAACAACACAATTATTTTCAATAGTTACTATAACTGGACTTAACACTTCCTATGGAGGAGTAATTTTGTCCAACTTACTTTGCCATGTGACTTAGAGGTGAGTCTTTAAGCCAAAGCTAGCCCGCTGGTAGGTTTTGTACTGTCTGTGTCGTAAGAATGGCATCTATTTTTATAAATGATTGAAACAGCGCATTTTATCAAAACCATATGTAACTGAAATTTTCGTGTTAAGAATTTTTTTTTACACAGCCATCTACTTTTACTGAACACTTGATTTACAGTTCTAGTTTCATTACAGTGGCATAGTTGATTGTTAAAAACTTTGTGCTCTAAAAAGCCCAAAACTTTATTATCTGACTCTTTGAAGGTTTTACTTACCTGTTTATTGATTGATTGTATAGAGTATGTATGTGAGTGTGTATGTGAGAGAGAGAGAGAGAATAGCAGAATGCTTACTTCACATATACTGATACTGTATTAATCTTTTTGCATTCTTGTGTAGAAATACTATTGACTGGATAGCTTTTTAAATGAAATGAATTTCTCATAGTTCCGGAGGCTTCATAATGTTCAGGATGAAAGTCGTGACAGATTTGGGAGCTTTTCAGGGCCTGTTTCTGGCTCACTGATGTTACATTCGGGCTTTGTGCTCACATGGTAGAAGTTCTCGTAGCTCTAGTGTCTGGTATATGTGGTGGTCCTCTTGCTTTAACTTTACAAGGCAGAAGATGCCCAGGGATTCTTGTTTTCCTATTTTTCTATTGTTTAACGAGGACAGTAATCGTGCTCATGAGTGCCCCATGCCCTAAGCTCATCACACGTGAGTTGAAGTGGGAAGAAGAACAGACTCTTGCAGCTACTTTGTGTAGGTGGTCTGTAGACATCACACAAATACCGCTTAGAATCTCATCCCTTTGCTTATTTTAGATTTGATGAGTTCGATGAAGCAATTGATGAAGCTATAGAAGATGATATTAAAGAGGCGGATGGAGGAGGTAGGTCTTTAACAGTTATTCTTTTTCACATAATTCCACCAACAGGTTATTCTTCCCAGTGCTAATGCTGAACAAACTGTCTCATAGTCAAAGTAATCTGCTGACATAGTGCCAGTGTATTAAATCAGAACTTAGTAATTAATTTTTATGCTACAATACAAAATGTTAATTTCTTTCATTGATCAAACAATTTATATCTGGTCCTAATTAGAATACTAGGAAATGTTTCTGTTGTCTTTACAACTACAAAACTTCAAAATGTATGGATAATGCAAAATCTGTTAAAAATCAGTTTACTCAGCTGGACATGGCAGTTACACGTCTGTAATCTCAAAGACAGAGGTGGGCAGATCTCTGTGAGTTGGAGGCCAGCTTGGTCTATAAAGCAAGTCCAGGACAGCCAAGGCTACACAGAGAAACCCTGTCTCTTAAAAAAAAGAAAAAAAGAAAGGAAAATGAAAAAAAAAATGGTCTGGAGAGATGACTCAGTGGTTAAGAGCACTCGCTACTCTTCCATAGGACTAGTTTGGTTCCTAGCATCTATGTTAGATAGCTTACAACTGCATATAACTCTCCTTTGAAGAGATCTGATAGCCTTTTCTGGACTCTGATGGCACTCACACACATGTCGCATTCACTTACAAAAAAACATACACATGAGTTTTTTAAAATCCTAAAATCCATGAGAATTGAGTCTTGGCACAGTCACTCGGTAGAGGCATTTGCACACAGTCCTGACAACAACCTAAATTAGAGCTTGGACTTTACCAAGTGGAAGAAGAGGCCTGACTCTTGAGACCACACACACAATAAGAATATTGAGCCAGGTATGGCGATACATGTCTATACTTGAGGATGCTGAGATGAGAGAATCATGAAATCAAGACCACCCCGGGCCTCACAGGCTTTTTAACAGCCCTCCACCAAATAACAGCCAATGAAATAGGGTGGGGGCAGGTATTACTTGGTGGTATAGCAAATCAAAATGTAAAGTTAGCAGTGTCTGCCCTGTGACCTTACATTGAATAGGCTAGCCATGTTAATTCTTTCTTTAGAGCATTATCAGCTGAAGTTGTGAGGAATGTGGGTATTTCTAAGAGAAATTAAGCAAAGGAAGAGCTGCTGCTCTCAAAAGTTACAGGGAAGGTTCAATAAGCATTCAGTTACCTCTTCCTCTCAGGAGTGGGCCGAGGAAAAGATATCTCCACCATCACGGGTCATCGTGGGAAAGACATCTCTACTATTTTGGATGAAGAAAGAAAGGAGAATAAACGGCCCCAGAGGGCTGCTGCTGCTCGCAGGAAGAAACGCCGGCGACTTAATGATCTGGATAGTGACAGCAACCTAGATGAAGAAGAGAGTGAGGATGAATTCAAGATCAGTGATGGGTATGTGTCTAGGGGCCAGCCTAAACAGAGCTGGGTCCTCAGAGAGCCTTGGCTGTGTTATGCTGTGGCCTTTATTCTTCACGCACACGGGCAGTCTCTGTTTTCGGTTATTTAAAGCATATTTGTGATTACTGATTTTGATTCATTTTAGGTTAAAATTAAAGCTATATTTACAGTTGTTTTATATTAAACTTGTATTTAAATTTGGTTAATTATAATATTAGCTTTCTTTATTGAAAGCTTTCTCTTCTGTTACAAAGTTAATCAGTGGTTTCTTAATCAAGTGTGGGAAATTACAAAGAAGTAAGTAGTTATTGTCCTCTATCTGGTGCTCTCTAGAGGTTGGGTAAAGGGTAACTAATCCAATATTAGGGTTAGAATAGCTTCTATACAAAAGAAGTATAAACAGTACTGTGAAATTTCTCCTTTTGGCTTGTTAATAAGTATGCAAAACCACAGAAAAATTACTCTGCATTGCCTGCCTCTGTAACATAGATAAAGTAAAATTAAGGTACTGAAGGTAGTTGGCTAATTCTAAGGTGGTCAGGACAACTTCACAAACAGAAGTAGAGTTAGTTGACGTGTAGAAGGAATACTTTGGGCAGCCTTTTAAGTTCAGAGTTCGAGGCAGGGTGGGAAAAGAAAGCAGCCAGAACATAGAAGCCACATGTTCAAATGTCAAGGCATATTAGGAAACACCCAGAAAAGAAAGAATATTGGGATGAAATGGAGAACGCCCTGGTAGAGCTGCAACCAGAACATAAAAAAGAACCAAACATGCAGTGGGTTTTTCTCTTTCTCTTCTTTTGTCTTGCATACAAATTTGAACTTTTTCCTGAAAATTAGTTTTGAAAATATACTGAAAGGGTTGAGGCATGAGATGAAAGGAGGGAAGATCAGGATAAGCACCAAGTTTCTGGTTGAAGTTATAGGCTGGGTGAATAAGTCTCAATCTGAGGCTAAAGAGCTGAACAGCAAAGGTCTTTGCCACCTAAACCTGGTAGCCTTTTCTTGAGAGGCCATGCAAAGATGGAAGCAGAGAACCGGCTGTACAGGTTGTCTGCTGGCGCCCACATGCAGGCGGAAGTGCCCTTCCCTCTCTAGAAGAAGAAGTCAAGATTTTTGTCTCAAAAATAATCCGGCTGGTAGATAAAAGAATAGGTTGAGAAATAATGAACATTTTCAGAGATACTGGATATAAGATGTATCTCAAAGAGGTCAGTGAAATTCATGTACAAAATTCAGCATCAGTTTATCTTCACAGTTTCTTCAAAGAAAAGGCTAGATGGTAGAATATTCATTTTATAGATAGAAGGTGACTTAATTTTTTAAATGTATATTTAAATATTACTTAATATTTTACTGGATTCATTACAGTTTGTGTTTGGAACTAGGAAAAAACTGTTTATCACTTCTAGATATACCATAATAAAACAAAACAAACACTAAGTGCTACATCATGGCCTATCTGGCTTTTCCTGAACAGATCTCAGGATGAATTTGTAGTTTCTGATGAAAACCCAGATGAAAGTGAAGAAGATCCACCATCCAATGAGGACAGTGACACTGACTTCTGTAGCCGTAGGCTGAGACGGCACCCTTCTCGGCCAATGAGGCAAAGCAGGCGTTTGCGGAGAAAGATTCCAAAGAAAAAGTACTCTGATGATGATGAAGAGGAAGAAGAGTCTGAGGAGAATAGTAGAGACTCTGGTAAGAATGCCTTTTGTCTGTAACCGAGCAACTCCGTTGCCTTTGTGATTCCTGGAGTTACAAGATGTTGAAATTACTTTGCTGTGACATAGGTGTCCTGATGAGACTTTGAAGACCTTTTCTTATGACTTGCTAGTTGCTTTTTTTCACATATGAAAAAAAAATTCATACAAATTAATGTTAAGTTCATGCCAAACTCTTATGATAAATCTTTCTTGTGCTAAATATTTCTGAGAATATTTTGAGGTCTTGGTGAAGGAATACCAAAATCAATTAATTCAACACTCAAGGCTTCTTAAGCTTTTCGACTCATAACTTTTTATTCCTGAGTCACTTTTCCAGTGTATAGGAATATAAAATAGATAATGAGAGTCAAATATTGACTGAGAATAAATATCTAAAAATAGTTTTTCTTTTTGTAACAATTTTTTTCTCTGCCTTGTTGTGTCTATGAATAGGTGTCGAATCCTCTAGAACTGGAATTTTAAGAGTTACTGGAGTTGTGAGCTGTCATGTGGGTGCTAGGAATTGAACCTGGGTCCTCTGGAAGTACAGCAGTACTCTTAACTGCTGAGCCATCTCTCCAGTCCCAAATAAATTTAATTTTAAAGCAATTCTTTAGGTGTGGACATGGTGCCCCATGCCTGTAATCCCAGCAATCAGGAGGCAGAGGCAGGCAGATCATACATAGGCCAGCCTGGTCTATATAGTAAGTTCCAGGACAGCCAGGGCTGCATAGTAAGACCCTGTTTGTTGTTTTGCAGTTTAAAAATAAAATTCTTCTGAGCAGCAAGATGGTTCAGTGAGTGCATGTTCCCCAAGCCTGACAACCTTGTGGTAGAAAAGGAGAGAGCCCATTCCCTTAATCCGTCCTCTAGTCACGGCATGTTCACCAAGGCACTAAAAGGATTGCCCACACTGCCACCGAGCCCAACCCCCCATAAATAAATGAAAAAAAATTAATTTAAAGAAAACAGTTATTTGTAACTATGTGATTTTTGCATACTGACGATACAGATGTGTTTGTTTTTACATAAAGAAGTCTTGCCTCAATCCATTTGATGCTGCCAGTCAGAGACCACCTTCACTGTTTCTCCCCATTGATTCTGATTTGTTTAATTGTCAGTGCTGAGAGTACTGTTTCACAGTAAAGACTGCTATAAGTGTCTTTAGATTGGTTTTAGAAATTGGAAGTTCTAACTCCATGCCAAAAAAACACTTAAAATTTTTTGTTAGAAAACTCAACTCAGAACTTCAAACAGCATTAAAAAAAAAAAAAAATCAAACATTCTAACAATGCAATCCAAAGACTAATTTGATACTTAAATGCTGAGGAATGATAGTAGAGAAATATTTAAAAACATTTGTTTGCTGTAATTAAACAATTGTATTTTAGAATATATTTTTATTTGGGAATTTCAAAGTGCATATGTAAATGTACTTTGATTATATTTACCCTCTCGCTTCTCCCCAACTCCTCCTAGATCTACCTTGTCCCCTCTCCCAACCATATTGTATGTAGTTTGCTTTATTTTTTAAGTCCATCAAATGCAATCAGTGCACATGGGTCTAGAGCCATCCATTGGCACACATGTGGCCACACCCTTACCAAAAAACTGACTTACTCTCCTCCAGAGCCATCAGTACTTCCTCAGCCTCTCAGGTCATGAGCCCCTTCCTCCTGTATGGAGGGTTTACTGCCTTGATCTTGTGCAGAGATCCATCGCTCTGTGAGGTCACGAGTATAGCTATCCTTTCATGTCCAGAAAGTTTTGCTCTGGTCCTCCGCAACCTTTGGCTCCTTTTCTGATGTCCCATGAGCCTTGGGGGAAACATATATGATAGGGATGTCCTGGTAGTGACTAGGCACCCCATGCTTATTCTCTGCATGATGAGCAACTAGTTGTTCTCAATTGAATGTAATATGGAGTATTACAAAATAGAATTAACAATTTTCCCTGTTCTTTTGGCATTGCCTGGGATCAAGTGCTAGGAAGACGTTCTACCAGCTATCCTCCCTTTATCTCCTCTCTCCCTTCTCCTCCTGTCTTATTTCCATCCCCTTTTTTTTATCTTGAGAATTAACTGTTATTGGTAGACGTTGGTGGGGCTGGGTCTGTTCAGTTGATGCTTGCCTGGCATGCCTGCAGCCCTGTGTTTGATCCTCACTGCTGCATGGCAGTGGACACGTGTACCCGGCATTCAGAAAGTGGTGATGAAAGGGGCATAAGTTGAAGACCAGCCTGGGCTAGGGACCTTAGCTCAAAACAAAACAAAACAAAACACAGGTGTACGTTTGTGATCTTTGGCAGTTTTGTTTTTTTTTTTTTTTTTTTTTTTTGTTTTTTTTTTTTTTTTGAGACTGGGTAACTGTCCTGGTTGTCTTAAACTGACTCTGTAGATCAGGCTGGCCTTTAAATCACAGAGATCCACCTGCCTCTGCCTCCCGAGTGCTGGGATTAAAGGTGTGTGCCACTATCACCTGGCTCTGATTTTTATTTTAAAAGAAAATATGATTTATAAAATTTGTTCAACTAAAATTTTTACAAATAAACTCTAGTAACACTCTGTTTTTGTAGCCTAATCTAGGTAAACTCCTACCAGTGGATTTAAATTTTATAATTTTTTGTTCTCCTTTTTTTTTTTTTTTAACAGAAAGTGACTTTAGCGATGATTTTAGTGATGATTTTGTAGAAACCCGGCGAAGGCGATCAAGAAGGAATCAGAAAAGACAAATCAACTACAAAGAAGATTCAGAAAGTGATGGTTCCCAAAAAAGTTTACGGCGTGGTAAAGAAATCAGGCGAGTTCACAAGCGCAGGCTTTCGAGCTCAGAGAGTGAAGGTAAGTGACATCCTGTGTGTGGAAGTAGGGCAAGGCCACAATGGACATTGTATAAAAAGAAAATTGATTCAGCCTTGTTGTTTTTAAACTCATAAATCACTAGATCATTGAGATGAATCTTGGTGTTTTTATCCTGTATATTAATTATAATTGAAGTAAATGACTCCATAGGATACTGATTTTTAAAGGTTCCATTGTATTAAATTCTTAATACAATGTGATTTACTCTGTTCCTTTTTGTTGTTTTACTTTGAAATGACCTCTTACGCACTGAGTGGCTAAGCAATTTCAAACTAAATTATCTATTGTCCTTCTGTACTTTCACTGTGATCTGTTTTCTGTAATGGCTTGAGCTGTACTATACCAGAAGTGTAGGGAAAGCTTTAAAATATTCATTCATGGGTGCGAGAGAGAGTGATCAATGGTTAAGAGAACTTCCTGTTCTTTCAGAGGACCAACCTTCAGGTCCTAACCCCCACTTGAGGCAGCACACAACCATGCACAGCTCCATCTTCAGGGAGTCTGATGCCTTCTGATGTTTGCAGACACTAGCACACGTTGGCACAGACACACACACATACACATAAAAATAAGGTAAATCTTGAGCTGGGTGGTATTGGCACATGCTTTTGATCCCAGCATTCTGGAGGCAGAGGCAGGCAGATCTCTTGAGTTTGAGTCCAGCCTGGTCTACAGAGTGAGTTCCAGGACGGCCAAAGCTGTTACACGGAGAACCCTGTCTCAAAATACAAAACCAAAAAACTGATGTATCTTTAAAAATTTTTTAATAGGAATTTGATATCCCTGTTATCTTTGATATTCCAGGCTTCTCTAAGCTCATTTTAAAAGATGCTGAGTCTTCTCCCCTACCTTTTAAAAGGTGTAATCTATCATTGTTTATGATCTGCTTTGACTATCGCTTTTACGAATTAAACATGGAATAAATGTTTGAAAGTGCGAGAGCAGGAAAACGTGCATGTAGGGGTCTAAAGGCAAACTTTACCTTGTGTATCTTCAGATGTCATAGAGATTAAACTAAATCCATTAATCCAGCCATTAAATGTGACTATTTATTGAACTAGACCCTGGTGTAAGCAATAGGAATAGGACTTGAGGTAGGTGGAAAGGCTATAAAATAAATACTAGAATATAAGATACTAGATGAAGAAAGGGGATTAGAACAGTGGAATTTCCGATTTCTTTGTTGAGAAAGACAACACTTAGGGGCAAAGTTGGGAATTAGTGGTGGTGTATTTGCTGTGTATGCCTGAGGTTAGAGGTTTGCTTCCAAATACTCGTGCATGTGTGGGGTGTGTGTGCATGTGTGTCTGTGTGTGTGACATTTAAGATCTGAAAGAAATGTTAGGTAGGAGTTACATAGTTAACCTAAAGGAAGAGTGATAATGACATATGGAAGGGCAAAGTGAAAGCCTAAGCTAACTGTACCCAGCACATTCAGGGAACAGATGGAAGTTGAGGCTTATTAGAACTGAGTGTCTCAGAGAACGAGAGGTCAGCCAGCTGCAGTGCACGTGCTGGGATAAACAAACAATTTTGGAGATCATGTTTTATTGGAAGATGGCCATGTCTGTTTACATATTGCCATGGCTGCCTTCTTAAAAAAATGATTATTTCTGATAGAATATGGGGTCCCACCTGACCAGAAAAGATTAGTAATCTCAGATAAAGACCAGAGCTGTCTAGCTGGATTTCTGCAATGATGGGAATATTTTCCATTTTCGAGTTGATTAAGTCAAATCATTAAGTACCAACCTTATGTGCCTGTAGAACACTTGAAATGTAGCTGGCTTGAACATGGAACTAATTTAAAATAATCACATGACTAGTATTTATTAAGTGACTAGGTCATTGTATGGAGTATGGATTTACTTTGTGTGATATACTGGAAGTGTAACGAAGTAGTATCTCATGTGGGTTCTATTGGAGAGTATCTAAATTATCAAAAAATTGAAGAGGAGTACAGGACAGATGCTTGGAGGCCAGTAGTCCAGGGATGAGATGATGCTGGGTGGGACTAGGTCCATAGTTAAAAGAGTAAAAAGTTACCAAGTTTTTAAGATTTATTTTTATTTTGTATGTGAGTATGTGCACTATATGGATGCCTAGTTGTCTATGAACACCAATAGAGGGCATCAGATTTCTTAGAACTGAAATTATATGTGATCATCATTCATCTGAAATGGGTGCTAGGAACTGAGCCACTTCTCCAAATTTCTGAGGATAGGTTCTCTTGGTAGATCAGAAGCATTTACTGAACTGTTTCATGGGATATCAAGAACTAAGCAGCTCCAAGAACAAAATCGCTGCCAGGTGGTGGTGGCAACACGTGCCTTTATTTAATAGGAGGACTCAGGAGACAGAGGCAGGCGGATCTTTTGAGTTTGAGGCCAGAAAAGAAGGAAGGGTGGAAGGAAGGAAGGCAACAAAACTGCCGAGAAGCATTTAGGAGCTATTTTATTTACATTAAATGTAAGATGCCTCTTTTAAACATAAATCATGGACTAATCTGGAATTTAGCTTGCCTAAACAGGAGCCTCATCAGTTTGTAAATGCATGTGTAGCCACGAGACTGGGCAAGATGACTTACCAAGTGAACACAGATCATGATAAGACATTCACGCACTTCCAGAGGAATTTAATATCCTCAAAGATTGTATGGTGAATAGAGTGATCCCCAGTAATTTCCCCTTTTTTTGCTGTTTTGAGAAGGATTTCATATAACCCAGGCTGAGGCTGGCCTTGAACTTGGGAGCTTCTACACTTCCCAAGTATGGGATTATAGATGTATACTACCATGGCTTCCTGCAGTTTAATCTTTTCTTATTAATATGTTTATGTGACTCTCCATTTTTGGACTAAGAGAAAGAGTTTCCCAGGTTGTGGCCAACTTATCTTCACTTAATTCAAGAACCATCAGTCTCCCTCTTCTTTCACTCCTCCAAGAAACCTGCTTTTCCCCCAAATCAGAAGTAAACTACACAATATTTTGCTTAGTATTGTTACCTGTGGTGGTGGGGGTTAGATGCCTATCAATCCATTTCTTACAGAGCAATGTTTTTCTAAGAGCAGAGCATGGGTGGATATGGGAGAGAAAGAGTACTTGAATGTGCTTATGGTTAACTGTGCCAACAGCTTAAATGTTTGTTTATTCTAGAGAGCTATATGTCCAAGAACTCTGAAGGTGACGACCTAACAAAAGAACCTAAGCGCTCTGTTCGGAAACGGGGCCGAAGCACAGATGAATATTCAGAAGTGGATGAAGACGATGAAGAGGAAGGCAAACCATCCCGCAAGCGGCTACACCGGATTGAGACAGATGAGGAGAGCTGTGACAGTGCTCATGGAGATGCAGACCAGCCTGCCCGGGACAGAGTCCTGCCCTCAGAGCAGGAGAGCAGCAAGAAGCCCTACCGGATAGAGAGTGATGAGGAAGAGGACTTTGAAAACGTGGGCAAAGTGGGGAGCCCATTGGACTACAGCCTAGTAGACTTACCTTCCACCAATGGCCAGAGTCCTGGCAAAGCCATTGAGAACTTGATGGGCAAGCCAACTGAGAAGTCCCAGACCCCCAAGGACAATGGCACAGCCAGTGCAAGTCTAGCACCCAATGGGACAAGTGGTGGACAGGAGGCCGGGGCGCCAGAAGAGGAGGAAGATGAGCTTCTGCGAGTGACTGACCTTGTTGATTATGTCTGTAACAGTGAACAGTTATAAGACTGCTTTCCATTTTTGTGCTAATTTATTCCACGGTAGCTCTCACACCAGCGGGCCAGTTAGTAAACGCTGTTTAATTTCAAAAAACAAACAAAAAACAAAAAACTCCACTACAGAACGACTTTTTAGAAGAAAAATTTCAACAAATCTTGAAGTCTTTCTGTGAAGTGACCAGTTTTGAACTTTGAAGATTAATAATTGCTGTAAATTCCTTTTGATTTTCTTTCTTTCCAAGTTCATGGTCCTTGGTAATTTCATTCATGGGAAAAAAAAATCTTATTATAATAACAACAAAGATTTGTATATTTTTGACTTTATATTTCCTGAGCTCTCCTGACTTTGTGAAAAGGGTAGATACGAATGCATTCCAAATCTGTGAGGGCCCAAAACAGAATTTAGGGTGGGAGAAAGCACTTGTGCTTTAGCTTTCATATTAAATATATATTATATTTAAACATTCATGCCATAGATGATGATTAACAAACTGTTTAAAAGTTCGAGTCTGTACTGTTGCAGTTTGAGTATTGTAGACAACATCGTACATACGTCACTTAGTAATAGCCTTCGTGAAATCAACTTGTTTACTATTGGAGTTAAACACTTTAAATAAAGAAGAGACCATGGAAGCACCATCATAAAACACTTTAACCTAAGTTTCTGTTTATAGCAGAGTTTCTTGTTTAAGAAAAAATCATCTGAAAAGCATTTGTATAGTACAATGTATAATGAAGCTTTGACAACCAGATTGTGCTAACAGAAAGTCATTTAAATAGCTTTTATGCTGTTGTAATAAGGTGGCGGCCTCTACTACACTTGGCCAGTTGGGGATTTGGTGAAGTGAGTGATCTCTCCTAAAATTCAGGTACACTATATTTGCCAGTAGTGTTAACTCTTCAGGCCACGTGGTGTTAACCATCTGAGATGTCATTTTGAGTATAATACATCTAAGCATAACATACATGGTGATGCTAAGCTAACAATGGTATTTTAGTACATTGAAGACTGAGAAGGATTTTTCAGGTGAATTTTTAACTGGTCTATTCTTGCCCTTAGTATCTACTTCAAATTGAAGTCTACAAACAAAGCAGTTCCTTTGGGAGATTTTTAGTTTTAAATTTTAAGCATGTGTGTAGTATGTGATTGTGGTGTGTGTGTGTGTGTGTGTGTGTGTGTGTGTGTGTGTGTGTGTGTGTTGGAATTTTCTATCTGCCTGAATACATTAGCAGGGTTTGAATGTAGTTCTGGCCTTTGGCCATTATATACTTCTATTAAAATCCATTAATAGTCACCCAACCAACAGAATTGAATGAGAACCGCTGATATACTTAATAAACATAACTTCCATTTTAAACATCTCAACACTTTAAGGATAAGCCCTTTGCTTCAAGAATAGGCGGTTTTTAAATTAAATAATGTAACATAGCTGACACTAAAATATGAACTTACATCTTAGTTTCTGTTACAGTTGTGAAGTTTCAGGCATAGCTCTAACCTTGTATAGCTGTAGCGTTTGTGATTCACCTTGCCTGGCACATCCTGAAGCCTTCACGTTGCTTCAGTGCGTGCTTTTGCCCTGGGATTCGGGTTTTCTGTTCCAGTGTTGTCTGTTGCCGGCAATAGACGTATTGTTGCTGGCTCAAGAAATTTCATTTTTCTTTTCTGATTAAGCATTATATGTAGTAGTCGGTGTACAGTAAGCCACTTTTTTATTATTAAAAGCTGGCATTAGACTTGTGTCATAAAGACCTCTCTGGAAACTTTATGCTCCTACTTTCTGTTGCTCAACAGATAGTGCCCTTACATCTTATCTCCTGGCCTTTAAAATTTAGTGCTGATTTTGTAGTTACTGAATTTTGGCTCCACTTTAGTCCCATAGAACTTGAGTGTTAATGTTTGCTTTGCTCGTGGTGGTGAGCTTGCATTTGTGTAATAATAGAGCAGTGAAAGCAGCCTACAAATGAGGGCGCAGCAGCCACTGACAGAGCCAGCTGAGGAACAGTGTTGTGCTTGAAGGACAGGGCAGGCTGACATTCACGGGCAGTAAAGGACTAAAAAGGAGCCACATTCACTTGCAAAGCTTACTTTCTAGCTGTTGTTTTACTTGAAAATCAGCTAAGAATAAACTTTTGAACTGTTGGAAACAGGCAGGCAGAAGAGTTCGTACTTGTGTGTGGTAAGTGGTTCCTGCTACCAGGCTCAGAAGGTTTCAGTCCTGCTGCCAGGTGAAGCCACTGTGGTGTAAGAAATCTCCCATGTGCCTGTCTACCTCTGCACACACCAGCTCTTGCATCCACCTATCAGCTCTAGTCATCGATTAAACAGATGGTTAGAGGTAGGAAATGGGTAGCTAACTCAACAGCATGCGGAATGTGAAGTAACTTACCCTGCTATGGAAAACCCGCAGTAATCTTTACAGTAAGACTGAGTATTTCACTTAGCAATTGTCCCACTGACATGGGTTTCAAAACCACTTGTGCTACCTGATCCTTACTAAACTTGAGTGTCAACTTGATACTGAGTGTCTCCCTTCTAACCTTACATTCTCATTACACCAACTGGCTATCAAGAGTAATCCAGGCAGCTAACACACACCAGTTCTTAGTAACCCAGCCAGTTCTGTTGCTCGGCTTTGTTGTTGTTTCTGTTCAGGCTGGAGATCAAGTCCAGGGCCTCATGCATGCTGGCTAAGTGTTCTAACACTGAGCTAGAACTCCTGCCCTGCTTAATGTTTAGATTCAGTCCCTCAAAGTTTGCTATTTCTCAGAAATACTCACGTGGAAGATGTTCCCAAAGAGGTTTCTGTTGCTGCTGTCAAATAAATGTTCTGTATCAAAAATTCTGATGCAACCATTAAGAACTGGAGAATGGAAAGGAAAACAGTCATGTAGAGGGTAGACTATCTTCAGTCCTTGATAGGTTCAGATTTACAGTAAGTCTATAGAATATTTCCCTTTCATAACTTTAGTGACCCCCTCCTACCTTTTGAACTGCAAGTGTTGAACTTGTATCAAAGGGCTCCCAGTAGCAGACTCTTAGTCTACAGCATATGCGTTAAGAGAAAACATAGTATTCAAACTGTTTAGTTTGCCATTTTAGTAAAGTTTGAAAACTAGCCAGATTTTTACAGTTCAAGACCTTAGAATTGAAATAGCGTATGAAAAGGACTCATTAACAACACATTAAGGTTTCCTTGGCAACTTTTTCCAGTGGTCAAAGTTGTACATTCAGAAGACAAAAAGTTTCATTAAGAATGAATTCATATTTACTGGTAACTTATTTTTTAAAAAGTGATCTGCCAAAGAACTTCAGATACTAACTGTTACGGGGAAGTAGATTTTATTTTTTAATGTTGTTATCCACTTTTTACTGTGTAGTTGATAGAGCCTATCCTACGTAACAGACATTTAAGTAAAATACATGTACTAGGGAAACAGACACTTGTTTAATCAGTTAAAATTATGGAGAATGTGTTAGTTTTTTAAGGGGGATGGGTGGCGTTCCCTCTGACTAGGAATGCCTGTTTGGCCTCCTTGGTAGGCATGAAGTGTTAGCCATTCTCTGATTGTTCTACCAGAAGAATAAAGCACCTAAGGGGTCTCTAACACTCAGAAAATGTTCTTACTCCACTGCAGCTGCCACAGCAAAGCAGGCAGGTCTCTAGTTCAGGGTGGTGGTTCAGCTTTAGAACAAGTGTTCAATGGTTTTTCTTAAGAGGAAATGTGTATATATGCACATTGTGGATAACTACTAGAATATTGAATCATCATGAACTTACTAAATATATGGCAAATAGTTGTGACAAAATAATGAATATACTTTCAACAATAGAAAGTTTAAAGAGAAAATCAGTTTTTCTTGAGGGTTTGACATTCTCAAAATAGATTTCTGGTTCTCTTAGAAAGCAGAGAATGCCAAGACCACATGTATGCTGTAATCAACATAGTCCTTATCTGGTTAATATGATCAATTATTGAACTCCCAATAAAACTCATTCCTATTTTATCCACCATTCCCACTGTAAACCTTGGAAATGGCAAGCAACCTAGCTTCTGGTTTATTTCCTCACTGCTTTTATCCTAATCCTGAAAGGATTGCTATTCTGTTTTTAAACTGAATTACTGTGTTATGCTTCCACTTAATTTTGAACATCTTTCGCTCCACCCTAAATTATTTAACATTTTTTGAGTGCCAAGGTTTACCAGATAACTTGCTGCATAACACTGAGGACAAGTCATTCCCATGTAAACAGTCATACACCAAAATAAGGTAGACTTGAACTGCTTTAGATTGTACACTCAACAGTTATTCAGACAAACCCTCTCAAAAGTCGGTCAGAACAGAGTTCCCGTGAAGTTTTTTCACTCCTTTTGGTTATAGATACAACTCCCTGCCCACTTCACATGCATACCACTTTGCTCCAGGAGCTGCTGTCCTGGCACACACTAGTGGGGTTTTTACCTTAATGTAGGTCTGTCTGTCCTGTACACACGGTGTGTGATAGAACAGAAATTACCAGATGAGTAGGGCTTTACTAAGCTCTAAGCAAACACTTTGAATGAGAACAAAAAAATTAAGGAACTGTATTTGTGGGTTTTCTCTCTCATTTTTTTTTTTTTTCCAAACTGGTACAAGCTAGAAAATGTGCGAAGGACTGAATAATCTGCCTTGTTCTTTTTGCCACTGGATTATGTAAGTTAAGAATGAGCTTGTTTAACTATATAATTTTTTTTTTTACTCATCAGTTTCAGAAAGAGCCTCAGTTAAGTGGGGTTTGTTTGGTCTGTATTTATTGCATCCTGGCCATGGACCAGGAGCCTGCATGGTATGTTTATGGACAGCCAGAACACAGTCATGTGGAACTTAATGGCTCAAGATCTTTTAAACCATTTAACTTATTTTGTACGTTGCAAAAAAGAAAAAAAAAGTTTATTTTGCTTGAGAATCACATTTTTTTATAACTGTACAGCTTTTAAGGGATGGGAGGTCGGGAAATACCCTAAAATAGGATGTAGATTTTTACAGTTGTGTTTATGCTAGAACATCTATGGGAGCATTATGTAATTAAACCTCAAGTTGTTTAAAACCTTGTGCCATGGTCTTTTTCGTTCTGTTGCCCTCTAGTAGAGCTGGTGCATGTCAGTACTGCGCTGCTGTTGCGTCAAGCCTTGAGATTAGATGAAAACATGTTCCAAAGCTTTCATATCATTGCATGAGCACAACTCCCCCTGTGCCCACATACACAGGAGGGAGAGAGGGAGAGAAATACAGTTCCTGTTTGTATAAATGGGTCTTCAGGATCAGTATAACTGTAACATCCAGAACCTGGCAATCTGTGGCCTATTCTTTCAGTGCATGACTTTGTGGTGCCTGTCTAGGGTGTCGTCGATGTTGGTGTGTTTTGTTCTCTTATCAAAGTAGCTTCTTGATCATAGTGTCTGGATAGTACCCTGCCCAAAACTCTCATTCAATTTCATGTGCACTTTAAGAAGGGATGTCCTATGTTGAGATGGAGGTGGGAATGGGGCAGGGCTAGTTTCTCATGTATAAGAGAAGGAAAAACTAGAATTGTTTGATTATACTGTATATTTTCCTAATGCCACACAAATAATCTGCTGAAACTTGGCAGGAAGGGAAATGACATTCAATTTTCAATCCTTCCTTCTTTGGTAAATAATTTTGTAATCTCTCAAACTGCTGCTGCTGGCAGTCTCCCACAGCACATTTTACCATGCCATAACCACACCTTTTTAAATGCCAGTTTTTTGTTTTGTTTTTTGTAATTTCTTTGTTTGTATTTCAAGACAGAGTTTTCCTGTGTAGCCTTGGCTGTTCAGGACTCACTTTGTAGACCAGGCTGGCCTCGAACTCACAGCAGTCTGCCTGCCTCTGCCTCCCCAAATGCTGGGATTATAGGTGTGTGCCACTGCGTCCAGTAGATATCTGGTAATTTTATCATTCTGATTGACTACCTGGATAGCATAACTGTATTCTTATAAGGGATTAAGTTCATCTAAATGTGTCATAATTTCTAAGTAACCATCTGTGGGCAACTATTTGGGAAATAATTTTCTTTGCTATCTTCACCCATTTAAAAGCGTAGGCACCATGAGTTTCAATGTGAAGAGTATAAATTCCAGATAAGCATTTGTAAATTGTCTTATTTCCAGGAAGCATCTGGTCAGAACATGTCTTAGATTTTCAGATTGCTTATTTGAAACACTTTATTTTCCCTATGCATAAAAGAAAAATATTGCTGGAGTAGTTCTCAAAATACTGTTTTATATGAGAGCTTACGCAGAAGCTCCAAGACTAGCATCGCACTAACTCTTGAGGTAATCATGCTGCTGGGTGAAGAGACGTTTTAGTGCACTGTCACATGATAATAATGTAGCATCACACGAGGAGGTGCAAAAAGATCTGGAAACATGATTCCGATAACACAGGTAAAGTTTATGTATGAAAGGTATGCCTGAGAACTTAAAGCTTCAGAGTATGAGAACTGCAGTGCATAGTTGTTTAAATATAATATTCCTGTGACAACCAAAATATGTTGTGGCTGGTGCCAATATTTTCATTAATGAAATGTTGGATTGTCTCATTACAGTCTGATCAAAATTCTCAATGTGATAAGCCAGGCCTAAGCCATTTTTATAGCTATTGGCCTAACTATGTAACTTTTTTCCCAAATGTTTTATTATAATACTTGTCATTTCTTTCACTTAATATATGTCAATTGTCATAATAAAAAGTTTAAATAAGTCGATGTACTTAGCATTATGGCATTATTGGAAGCTCAATTTTTTCAATAACTGGTTTGTAAAATGTTAAGATGTTCTGTATCACTTAGGAATGGACTATTATTATATCCTGTCTAGAAAGGAAATTTACAAATAAGTCAACTCCCTCAAAATAGGTTTTAAGGCTGTTTGTCAGCTAGGTATTTAAACACAGGACACTCCTCTTGGGTCATGTTACTTAGCGTCTGCAGAGCTGACACATCAAAGAGCGCAGGGCTTCGTTCAGCAGTCTTTTGGGAACACAACTACACCAGCAGTCAGGATAGGGTGACGGTGTTTAGTTCCTTTCCTGGCTGGAGCACAGGTGTGTGCATGTGTGTGTGTGTGTGTGTGGCCGGAGCACAGGTGTGTGCGTGCGTGTGTGTGTGTGTGTGAGCTCATGTGTGTGCGTGCGTGTGTGTGAGCTCGTGTGAGCGTGCGTGCGTGCTTGTGTGTGCGCGCGCACAAAAGATAACACCGAGTATGATTTTTTTGTTTTTCTTTTCTTGGAGTACCTAAAGTTTTGTTTTGTTTTATCCAGCAAGCTAGCAGAGTTCATCAGTGCTTGAAATTCTGACCCAAAACTACCAATTAACATTTACATAAAGAATGTGAATCGGGATTTTACTTAATAGAATGAATGCTGGTAAGCAAATGGTCCATTATAACAATCTGAGATTCTTTAAAAAAAAAATCATCTAAAAAGTGACAGTGGAATGTCAGCCTTAGCAGTTTTTAATGTTTTTATCTTCTGTATGTGGGCGCTTTGCCTACATGTATGCCTACCACTTGCATGCAAGGTGTTGTTGGAGGTCAGAAGAGGACACTGGAGCCTCCACACTGGACAGTTGTGAACCATCCTGTGGGTGCTGGGAATTGAGCCCTGGTCCTATGAAAGAGCAGCCAGTACTCTTAACTGCTGAGCCGTCTCTCCAAACCACAGCTTTGACAATTTAAGCATCTTAGACAGTGGGGCCAGAACATAGCTGTCAACTTTTATCCTAGATTGAGACCAGAGCACAGTTTCTTTTAAAAACTAAGATTTGATGCGCTAAATGGTGATCATTCACTCCAAGTGGAATTACAACAAAAATGTTTTAAATTTTATTTTATGTATATTGGTGTTAAAGTATCAGCTCCTCCAGAACTGGGGTGACCAACAGTCGTGAGCTGCCGTGTGGGTGCTGGGAATTAAATCCAGGTCCTCTGAAAGAGCAAACAGTGCTCTTAACCACTGGTCTCTCTCCGGCCCCAAGACAATCATTTTAATGAAATTAAATGTTAGATGTTAGGACCCTCCTGGATGAGGCAAATGCTTACGTAATTCTGACTGACTGAGTTCTTTAGGGTTACTTAAAGTCTAAATGACAGTGACACTAGGAGAATGTGACTTAGTGTATACAGTATTAGTGCATGCAGCCATACCCTATAAGAAAAGTTAGCTAGAACCTAGAATACCAGTTCACAGTATAGGCCACCTTACCTATTCAGGAACTCTTGTCCACTTGAGAGCCACGTGACCCAGTTTTCCATCTTTCTCTTTAGCCTGTCTCCAAGAAGACTCCTTTTGCAGCATCGCCTCTGTCTGTGTCCATGACCTGGTAGCTTTTCTGTTACCTTTCAGCCTCTCATCTCTGGGCTCCTTCCTTCTGAAGAATCCTCTCTGTGGGATGGTCTTCCTTCAAGGATGAAAAAGGTGGGTATGTTCCCATTTAATGTGTCTTTTCATTATTCCTTGCTTGATTTGTAGTGTTTAAAATGAACAGACCATAGAATTATTAAAAACAATGAATGTCTATTACAGTCTGATCAGGATTCTCAGTGTAAAAAGACATTTTATAACTATTGGCCTAACTGTGTAAACTATCTTTTCAAAATGTTTTATTTATAATACTTGTCATTTCTTTCACTTAATATATGTCAACTGTCATAATAAAAATTAGAACTTTTAAGTGTATATAAAAATTCTTACAAAAATATCACTAGTTTGTAAGAGAAGTTCCAAGAAGCAAACAGGCTCTGTGGCAACAGCTAAACTCCATCATCAGAAACTGTTACAGAAAGCTGACACAACCGGAGAAAACACCCCACGCAACTACACCCCTTTTGTTTTCTGGTTTTCTACTGAGTGTCTATTTGTCTGCTCTTTAACATTCTATTTGCAAGTGGGACACCTGTAATTATACTATCATCTATCCAAACAAAACAGATTTTATTCTACTCTAGAGGCCAACAATAACGTAATGCTGATAAACCCTCATTAGAACATGTGCCTGTGTTCTAATGATACTAATTCTGATCTAGTAAGAATGGGTTTGTAAGCCTAGCTCTTACTATTACCAAAAGGCAGTGACCTTTATAACCCTCTTATCTTTATAGACCTCTGTCAGTTGTTTCCAGGTAATGGTTCATGTGAAAATGATGGAGTCCCAGTAAAAGTAAGAATTACCAGGGCATGGTGGTGAAGTGCAATAACAGCACTCAGGAGACAGAGGCGGGAGAGTCACAAATTGAAGGCCAACCTGGGCTACACAATAAGTGCTAAAAATCTTAAGCAAATCACTTTCTTGATCTTTCACTTTAGCTGCAAATGGTCGTAACAGCTGCCCTGCCTGCCCTCACAAATTATCATAAAGAATAAAGAGGATAATGGTGAGGAGACCACCCTTGAAAAAGTAAAACACTGTACAAACGTGAGATGTACTGATTGCCTACCACCTGTCAGTCACAGGGGTTCATACAAGAAGCAAAAACACAGACCTTCCCATTTCAGTGGCTGATGCTGGTCTGTTGACCCACACACTGTCTCCTCCGCGCATATCATTCTGAGTGCTTAAAGGGATCCTTCCTAGAATTAAGATCCCTTTCTTCACTTATAACTTGAATAAAAGGTTTTGCCATTGGGTTGTTTCTATGTAAAAATGACTCTGAAGACTTGTTTCACCAAATAAATGTTTTAGGAAAGTCTCAGATTAATAATTTCTCAAATTAGATTCATGGGCTACTTTGTTTTTAGTCTTGGGGATTCAACCCAGGGCCTTACACGTTACCCCAGTGCTCAGCCTGAGCTCTATCTGCTACCCTTGTAACCGACTTTGAAAACCTCTTTCTGAATTCCCCAGCTTAGATATAGAAACCACACCTATCAAGTTTTTAAACTGGAAATTTAGAAATTATATTTTATCTCTCTCCTTTGTGTATCCATGTCTCCACTTTCACATCATGCAGGCAGCTCACAACGGCCTGTATCTTGAGCTCCAGGAGCGCTGTCGATCAGTTAATGTATGTGCTCCCGTGGCGTGACACTTGGGGATGGACCCAATTCTGTGGGCACCTGCACTTCCAGGAATTAAGGAATAAAAATAAATCTTTTTTAAAAAATCTAAAGATTCTTCTGTTGAGAAGATCTATCAAAAAGGGGGGGAAATAAGACAAAACCCACATCCTTCATGTTATGTCATCCAACATAAAACAGCCCTGTCCCAGAAGATACATCAATTTTCCAGTCAAAAAGGTGGAACCTAGAGACTGGCTGACCAGGTCTCTCCACTAGGTTTCTCATTACCAAACTCTAGCTTGTGAGTTTAATGCCTCAGCTCTTATCTGTAAAACGGGGTCAGTAACAGAAAATGTGGTCATATTATTTAACATAAAGAGGGGAAATGAATTGAGCAGGTGTGATGATGCATGCCTGTGGTAGTCCTAGCACCCAGAGCAGGGTGTAGGTCCATTATGCATTGGAGGACAGCCCTGACTCAGGATCAACAAGCAAAAAGAACCCGTGAAGAAATAAAAGGTCAAAGTGCTTATGCTGGTGGCGGTAGATTACGGGTTTCTATTTACTAAACCTGTAAGTTTTCACTACTCTCATTCTTTGGGGCCTAGCCAGCATGAACCAGATCAATGGCTGGCTACCTTTCCCTTGGGCGCTATCTTGCCTTGGAGCGCTGTCGATCAGTTAATGTGTGTAACTTCTTTGTGCTCCCGTGGCGTGACACTTGGGGATGGACCGCTCGAACTCTGGCGATGGACTGTGTTCTGGTGAATGGCTATGTGAACCAAACGAGAAGAGGCCCCATGAGGCGGGACCAGGGCAGAACCGTGTACCCAGCCCGGAGACTTCTGACCTCCAGGTGAGTGTGGTTTCCATTTCTGTGCGTCCTCCTCAGGCAAGGGACTCCCGCGTCCTCGGCCCGTCCCCGCTTTTTGTTGGAAAAGGCATCGTATTCCTCATATATCCTCGTTCAGGGTTTGCCGTGATGACTTTTAAGGAGAACCGCGGAGAAATCACTTGGTTATTCTAAGCCACCTCAGAGGCGCGGGAGAGGGGAACCAGTACCACGTGACAAAAGCCCGGCGGCTCAACAGGGACCTCTGCTTTGGCTAGAACGTCCCGTCTCTATGGTCTACGGAGTGCGGCGTCCAGGCGGAAGGAGTTGTTCTTCCGGGTTACGGCTATTACTTCCGGGGCAGCTCACTGCAGGGGCCCGGGCCGTGGCGTTCGGCTTTCTCGGGTCCTGTTAAGCTATGCTTTCACCGGCCATGAGCTTCCTCAAAAGCTTCCTGCCGCCTGGGTCGGCAGACGGGCTCCGGCTGCAGCAGCCAGACACCGAGGCGGTGCTGAACGGGAAGGGGCTCGGCACCGGCACCCTTTACATTGCGGAGAGGTAGGGTTCCCGGGCTCCGGCGCTGGCCTCCCTCGGGGCCGCCTTCCTGAGGCGCGACCCCGGGGTGCTGCGGGGACGCCGGCGGCGCTGCCCCTGTGGGGCCTGAGAGGGATCCCTCCTCCCGAGCTCGCCTGGCTCTGTTCTCTACACGGTGTTTCTCCTTAACGACTGGCGCCTTTGTTTTTTTTTTTTTACCTCTCTGTGCGCTGGAGGCCTGGCGCGTGGTCACGTTTAGTTTTGTGTTTGCTGAACCTCGGTTAGTTTTCAGTGGTGCCCCTGGCTCTGAATGATCTTGTGAGCTGGATGTTTTACCTGCATAGAATATGTAGTCCAGAGGAGATTGTGAAGGATTTAGGACGTTTGGTTAATGAGTTTGGATTTTGTAGGTGGGGAAAAGGAGCATCTTCGGGCCCACGCAGGGCGGGGTCATAACCAGCCGAACCCGACTCCTCGATAAGCTGGTCCTAGAAGGAATTCTTCATTCGACTGCCTGCAGTACTTTGTACTTTCACAATAAGATAGACATGTCACCAAAACACACACACCTCCCTGTCCACACACAAACACACACCCCCTACCTTCATGTCCTTCCGAGTCTCTGGTTTACCTTTTGCTATATTCCATTTGTCCCCCGCCCTTTTTTCCCCCCAGAGCTTGTGTTACAACACTCGTTCTGGCCAGAAAATCCAGGGTAGCCCCATTATTTCATCGTTAGTTGATTAGTAACCCTAATTATACTGAGAGCCCCTTCTGCCATTCACTAGCATGGCACTGGGAAACAAATTTGTTGGGGACCAAGATTATGCCTACTGCAGAGTCCAGGTGTAAGCGTGTAAGAAAGTCTTTGTTTAGGGAGCTCTTTTGATAGGGGGACACAGACTGGATGTTCAGACACTAACCAGATACAAATACTGTTTGGGATGAAGGGGTTGATGAGTTTGGCTGGTGTGTGTGCGGAGTGGTTGGGCTTAGGAGCTTGTGTCTTAAGAGTGGCATCAAAGGGAGATTTGTGAATCAGTAGAGTGGGTATTAACATCCTCATGGAAGTAGACTAGATAGCCCAGAAGAAAGGACTGAGGAGCTGGACCTTGGAGATACATTTGCATTAAGAGGTGGGTCTTTTGAGAAAAGACTTAAGAGAATCACCTGTCAGACATTAAACTGGAAAATGTCTGTTGGGTATTAGCAGTAAGTAAGTAATTTCAGCAACAATTTCTTCTACACGTGGAGTATGGAACACAGGTATATTTCTAACTTTGACAAAAGCCTTTTTATTTATCCATGTGTATTAGGGTTCTCTAAAGTAACAACTTATAGAATGAGTGAATATCTCTCCCTCTACCCCCCTCTCTCTCCATCTCTCTCTCAGCTACTCCACACGTACACCAACCAAACTCATCACCATCCTTCATCCCAAACTTGCTTTTCCTCACACTCATATTTCCTTCTGGTCAGTGTCTAAACACCCAAGCTTTGTCCGATGTCAAAATTGCTTAAATGAAGATTTATTTTTTAAAAGACAGTTTTATACCCTGGACTCAGTAGTAGGCATAACTCCCTCCCCCAATCTCTGTCTCTTTTTAAGGGAGAGAGAGAAGGGGAATTTATTAGAATGACTTCAGGCTGTGGTCCAGCCAATTCAGTAACGGCTGGCTGTCAATGGAAAGTCCAATAATCCAGAGGTACTCACTCCAAGAAGCTGTAAATCTCAGCTCATCTTCATTAGACTCTGGGATCCCACCTCAAGACCTAGATTAAAGGCACATGTCTTCCTGCCTCAAGATCCGGACTAAAAGTGAATCCTCTTACCTCAAATTAAGCAAGCAAAAAAATAAATAATAACAACAACAGTAAACCTCACTGGTGTACCTTCCATTTTTCGATTCCAGCAGTCGGAGGCAGAGGCAGGAGGATCTCTGTGAGTACCAGGTGAGCCAGGACTACACAGAGATCTTGTCTTAAGCAAAACCAAATAAACAAAACCCATTTTACATGGTTTGATGGCTTTTATTGGTTGTCAACTTGATTACATCTGGAATTAACTATAATCGAAAAATGTAGGGCACACCAGTGAGGTTTTCTGTTGTTGTGTGTGTGTGTTTTGTTTTGTTTTGCTTACTTAATTTGAGGTAGGAAGATTCACTTTATACTTTATAAAGATTGGTTAATTGAGAGCTGGAGACATGGCGTCAATGAGGACTCTGCAGAGGCCTCTGGGTCAATTCCCACGTGGTGACTCATAATGACCCCTAACTTCAGTTCCAGATCTGCCACCCTCTCTGACCTGTGTGGGCACCAGACACATATGGTACACATTCATGCAGACAAAACACGCATATGTGTCAATCTAAATTTTTTAAAAAGAATCATTAATAATTAGCATTTTGCCTTGTTTCTTAGGCCATTTGAGAGTTGCAGACATTTTTTAACCTCATGTAGATAACTTAGCATGTTCTTCAGAAGACCAAGAACAGCTACACAATTTCCATATTCAAGAAGTATATCTCATTTAATGATCTTAAAGATTTATGTATTTATTCATTTATTCTCTTATTTATTTGTGCTTATTTGTGTGTGAGTACCCTATCTGCATGTACACCTGCATGTCAGAAGAGGGCACCAGATCCCATTATAGATGACTGTGAGCCACCATGAGGTTGCTGGGAGTTGAACTCAGGACCTCTGGAAGAACAGACAGTGCCCTTAACTGCTGAGCCATCTCTTTAGCCCTAATGGCAGACTCTTAATGCTTTTTTAAGAGAACATTTTTGGAGATGTCCCAAAATTATAGGTTACATACATGTGAATTAAAATGTAATTAAATCAACATTACATTTCCAGCTTGTACCTCTCTAGGTACTCTTTCCTAACTTCCTTGGTCTGATCCGCTTTTGTAATTTTGTTTTGTTTTTTGAGACAGGGTTTCTCTGTGTAGCCTTGGCTCTCCTGGACTCACTTTGTAGAAGAGGCAGGCCTCGAACTCATAGAGATCCGCCTGCCTCTGTCTCCCCAAGTGCTGGGATCACAGGAGTGTGGCACCACCATGCCTGGCTGTATTTTTTTTTTTTTTTCTAACCTGACATTTCTCTAAGTCATAGGATTCCATAACTGGTAGTTCCCCCAAAATTATGACAGCTGGTGATTAACATCCAGGTCAGTAGCATTGTGTGTGTGCTGGCAAGTGCTCTAATTAGAAGAAGTAGGAGGATGTTTAGATGAAAAACAGCGTTCTTTGTGCCGGGACATGTATTTTACACAGGCATACATGGTATAAATGCTGTTTAGTAGTTCTTCATCTTAGGAAATGAAGGAGAACATGGAGAGCTCTGAAGCTGGAACAGGTTAAGAATATGTCCATGGACTTGGCTATATTGTATTCGAGCTTTTGGGGAAGCTTTTAGGATGGAAGCCAGAGAGGAATGGTATTGAATTTGGCTCTAAGGAAATAGCTTCTTGCATGTGTCTTTGGAGATACAGAATTCCTGGGCTCATTTTCAGAGTTTAGAGCTTGTTTTGTTTTCAGACTTACTTTGAGTGTTTTGTCTGTGTGTATCTATGTGTACCATGTATGCCTGGTTTCCACTGAGGCCAGAAGAAGGCATTGGATGCTCTGGGCTTAGAGTTGTGAGCTGCCACGTGGTACTGAGAATTGAACTATGGTCCTCTGCAAAGAGCAGCCAGGGCCCTTGAGCACTGTTCTCTCTCCATACCACAGAGCTTAGTTTTTATAAGAAGTTGAGTTCTTATCCAAATAAGAAAGATAAAAAAGGCATGATTCAAAATAAGGGTAAAATCTGTACTTAAATTAAAAATAAGTATTTTGCGCATAGAAATAATGCTTTTTTGCATCTCTTCCCCAAATTAATATTAAATCAATTAAGTCGGCTCAAATTCAAGTTCTCTTTTACCTTCATGTGCTATTTTTAACACTTCAGCAGAAATAAAAGACATTGATGGTACTTATTCCTAAGTATCAGAGTTCAACAAAACATTCGTTAACCTGCATTTACTGTTCTTGTGTTCTTGTCCTTGCATTTATGACTCATGTGGTTTTGGTTTTTATGACTGGGCATAGTTAATTATATATTTTGGTTTTGGAGTGCTTTTCTTCTAGAATATGTGAGGAGAGACTGAAAAATAATTAGAACTTAAAGTCTAGTAAGTATTGCTTCAAGTGCCAAACCCATTTCCCTGAACTTTTCAGAGCCTTTAGGAGCATTGTGCTGCGACAGCATGCTTTCATCCTTAGGAATGCTACAGAACAATTTCAGCCTTTAGTCCAAAGGCTGTAATTTGCTAGGCACTGATTCAATTTAGATGCCAACTTTTTCCACTGCTCAGTGGAGTTAATAAAGGTTTTATGGACCTGAATATTTGAGATTATTTTAGACTTGTAAATCGGGATGCTCCGTTCTAAATTGTTGTCATGTCAGGAGATTTTGGAGTTGAGAAAAGAAACATTGGTTGGGCTATTCTTGGTACCTGTGAGCACACAGTCACTCACATAAGAAATATATTCCTTTAGAATCAGTGGGGATGAATTAATTCCTCAAACTTTTATCACTTTGCTATTTAAAATTTATCACCTTAACCCTCTTTTTTTTTTTTTTTCAAAGAAGCCTAATGGTTAGAATTCTTTCCAATAACTGCATTTTTTTCCTTGCTTTTAATTTTTAAGTGTACCATTA